ATTTGCTCTCATGCCTGTCTGTACCCCGGCTGTCAGCTACTTACTCGCTTGCTTCCACCTGTGGACACGGCTACGGGGAGCGCGCGGTGCGTGCCTGCGCTCGTGCCAGCGGTACCTTGGTACGTATCCCGGCATGGATGTAGCACACGGCGGGTGCGCGCGAACACTGGAGAGAAGGAACTGAAGAATGGAAGTGGAGAAAGCCCCGAACGGAAGGAAGACATGGCCACGCTTTCCAAAGTGGAGCATTTTTTGACTTGGCCATGCCTTCTTCTTGTTCTTCTTCTCCAATCTCACCGGCCGTTGACGTTGTTTTTGCTTGTTTTTGAAACCAGACTTTGAGATGCAGTGCACGCCGGCTGCATCCCCAATCCCATATATCCACTCGCCAATTTTACCAATCGACACAAGCCCTCCACAAACGCGAAACAAGAGCATGCAGAATTGCAGATGCCAATTCATCCCTAGCTTCTTGTGAGAAGATGATGCACGTCATGGATTCCACCGAGTACGAGCTTTGTGCCGTGTATCGTGGTATCCTCGTGCCATCTGCTCCTCCTGCCATATTGTGATGGGTATCCGCTCTGAGCCATCTCTCGATGCTTCATTTTTTCTTTCCCTGGGTACCTAAGTATTGTGGTACCGACCCAGAGCGAGACAATGTTTGAGAGACTATCTTTACAATTGGTGCCCGCTGATTCCAGTCTTCTTCCGTATCCAACGGTACAGTAAATTGACTGCGTCGTTTGGGGTTTTGCTTTTGCGATCCATCTACCTACATGCAATTATCTGACCGTGGATCAGATGAAACAATGTTGTACCCCTTGCCTCTTGACTCTGAACGTCCAACATCTTTCGGTTCAATCTTTGATACCATCAACAACGATGACAACACAGATGGCGTCCAAAAATGATGCATTGAAACCCGCATGCCATCGATGTGTGCTTCGGAAGCTACAGCTCACACCACGCAACATCCTCGACCCCTGGTTTCCGGGAGGAGCTCATGATGCACACCAAAACTAAAGCCTGCCTGCCTTTCCGTGAAACAAGGATCTTCCTCTCTCTCTCATTGAATTTCATTGCGGAGTTGAACCTTGCAGCAGGCCACGCCGGCCATCGGGCCACGACCACGTCCAACATGACTATTCGCTCGACACATCCACTCGATAACAGCCCGCCCTCTATCTCAGTGCTTCGCTCAAGGCACTCATCCACGGTGTTCAATGTTATATCCAAAGAGTAGCCAGTTCACAAGCCATTCAATTCCCCATACCAGGACCATCTTATCAACTAGTTCAAACTTCTTCCCTCTGTCCATCAACTTGCTGTCTGGCCATCACCAGACACCACTGGTCACCACCTGGTTCGCCTTCATGTAGAAACGTTTCTTGTGTGATTTTATCTCTTCTCCTTCACGAATTACCTATTTCATGTTTTAGTTCACCACATTCGCCGGAAGAGGTTAGCTACTTCGATACAGAGAGAGAAACAGGGAATATTGAAATGTCGAGTTCTGAAGTCTCTATGCCACAGCCCTTGCTCCGAAAATGCGTGGGGGAGGAAAGGATCTGGTACGGGGTATATCTGGCCCCGAAGCTCACAACTGATAACTGGCTTGCCAAGGCATGTAAGCGATCCCTATACCGCAACGGATTATTTGTTACGAGCCGTGTTGAAGCTGCTAGCCGGCCAGCTAGCAAGCCAGCAACCCCCTCAGAATATGTACAGTACACCTCAGTAATCGACTACATAATATTGTGTTCATCTATGCCTGCCTATAACAAGAAAACTGTCAATACTCGACTAGGATCGGGAGACTCCCAGTCGCGGGTGGCCGGGTTTGGTTGCGTCCAACTCTGATACTAGCTCATTTCTCGCTACCCAGTTATATTCTATGCCGTCGTCGTCATCGTTGTTCCCATTGTCATTGTCATTGTCCCAAAGCGCATCAAATACCGAGGGCCCAATGTCGTGAACAGATCTGGCGAAACGTGGCTTTCCCACGCAAGCTGAGCGATGGATGAGACTGTGGCGGTTATCAATCCCTTGGAAGACAGTTGTCCACGTCGAACATCCTTTTCATTTTCAATCAAATCGATAGAACTTGGCAGCAACAAGGCTGAAAAAGCATGGCTGCCATGCTATAAAAAGAATGTGGGTGACAAGGGTTGTGAATGGAACAGGTATGTAGTGAGTGGTGGATGGTGACTAGTGAGTGGGTGGTATTAACGCGGGACGTCTGCTTGGTGATGTTTAGTTGTTCATGGTTCGGAATTCTTCACCTCTTTGGAGGTTGAAGTTCAAACTCCCCCACAAATCTTCCATGATCATCTCTTTCTCTTTGCGCGCGAAGCCGATGAGGGAAATGTGATTGATCACTACCAATGAGCGAGCTTTCTGTTATAAACGAAAAAGCCGCTCGGTTTCCCTTTCCCGCGGCAGCGTTACGGATGGATGGTTATTAGACGCCCATTGAAGGCGCAAGTATCCGTACAAACACGTACATGTTATTAATTGCTGGAAATGTTTTGGTCACTGCGATAATTCCCGTCCGTCCAATTACTCATTTCCCTCTCATTCACACAAAGAACCCATCAAACACACGTCGGTCCCTTGAGGCTCTAGCAGATATATGACTTTGCAAATAGACCTACCTGGGTGAGCCAGAACATGCATACATACACCCAGAGTATCCCGGTGAAGCGGCGACCTACACTGTCCACACATCGCACAACATATCCGCAGGCTTCAATACCCTAACACGAGCGCCCTCTTTAAAACTATCGCGAAGATCGTTTCAACTGCTTCCTTTCTCTGAACCCACATATTTGATGGGATACACAAAAGAACATCATCATTCGATGTATCTTGCGGCGGGCGATAGCGCGTAGGCAGTGTATGCAGATCATCAAGGACACAAGCAATTGCTGTGTTTCCACGACACAGCATTGTTGTGCAGGCTAGTATGTAGATGGGTTGATCGCCACTAGAGGATCTAGAAGTTTGATACTAGTGTATGAAGCATCCATCGTTCACCTTGTCGCCTTTCTACAGGAGGTACGAAACGAAGATCAATACCCCCACCCACTACTGGTATGAACTTCGACCACTGCATTAAGTTATCTTTCCCTTCTCTGCTCGACTTCACATCCCGCCAGCCATTTGTGTCAGCCACAGTCTCGTAACCATCTGGCGAGACACTGGGGAGAAACAGGCAGCGAACGATCCCTTGGGTATTTCTCTCCACAAGACTCAGTTGCGCCGCCTCTGCCCTAATCGTGGGCCGTTCCGTTGTCCAAGACACACGAAAGTTGGAACAGACAGCTGTTGGAAAACATGCATCTACCTGATTCTGATTCTGACTCTGCTCCGAAACATACATACGGCGGCGCCCCGTGGCGGGCAGAGAGATAGGTAGGAGATAGGCAGGTCCAAGGGCGAAAATGAAATCTTGTTCATTGAAACTGCGCAAAGGTTTGTGATGTTAAAACACAGCACAGACATCCAATAACGATTTAACCTTGGTAAGACCTGGAAAAAAAAAAAAAAAAAAAAAAGCACCGCTCGATGGTGCTATCGCCAGGGTAGGTAGGTAGTGTAGTAGTGGGGATTGGGAATGTCCGCTGGTGACTATCACACATTGTAACCGCATTTTACGCGCGGTTTGTTTTATGTTTTGGCGGTCGGCAAGGGGGGGTAATCGCTTGCTTAGGTACCTACTCGCTTCGCTAATAAATTATCACCGTAACGGGACAGGGCAGGTTAGGTAGGGTAGGGTAGAGCTTAGAGGTAGGGATTAGCTCGGCGGTAGCTGGTACACACCTAGCTGGCAGGCTGAATCAGACGATGAGTGATGCTGGTCGCCGTCGGTAATTTGTCTTGGAAAATTCGCCCGAGTTGATTTGATCATTGTCTGGAGTTCTACTATTAGGTGAGGGAGACAGACAGACGGACAGCCGGGCGGACAAAGAACACGACGAGAGGATAAGAAGAGATGTCCACCCGCGTGCGGGCAAACACACACACACATCATTGAACCTCCGTCGGTTGAGACATCTTGATTTGTTGGGTTGAATCAATTCCAATTTACACGCCCAGTAAAATCCCCTGCTTTTGATGGGCGGCGAAGGACATCAATAGGCGACACCAAAGCGGCTTCGGGCATGTGTGTGCTTTTGCATGTTTGTCCTCCGGGCACTGTAAGATTCGTACTCGTCAGTACCTAGGGCAGGGCTCTTTTGCTCCAATTGCTCCTTCGCGCTTCTTCTTTCTGTGATAGTGACGCTCCACTCAGTGAGCAAGCAGCGGTTAAATGCTGAAGTGGCTTCTTGGATTTCCCCTGCGTTCAAGATGGTGTAATGGTCAAAGGCAGATGTCTTTTCGATTCAGTGGACATGTTTGCAAAGAACTTGGTAAGGTTTGTGCGTCTTCGATTCAGGTCAAGTTGGTAGCTGTGGTAGTGGGCATTGGTTGAATGCACCACTGTCAGCCGTCTGAACCAAACTCGTAAAGTGTCTAATGGCGTGCCATCATTGGCGAAACTTGCGATGCGGCCCTGGGCCGAGGCCTGGTGGTTTCCAGACAAGTGGACGAAACTCATCGGGGCCATTCATCGTACCCTTCCCTTTTAAAGGGTCTACACTGCTCTATTGCGTACTGCCCGTGCACGATGCGTGTTCTAGAAGGCGGGAAGAATATCCCATGCAAGAAAGCTGGTGCCTGCCCGTGCTGATGATGTTAAAAAGGGAAAGGATTCGATGCCACTGGTGGTGAAGTTTCTCGTGATGATGTTGCTCCTTTTGCGGGCGTTAGCGCTGCTGCACTAACAGTAACAGCTAGCTTTCTCGAGTGCAAACAAACCAATCATAGCTTCTCCATGAACCCCACCGTCGAGCGGTCAGTTGGCGGCAAATTCCGCCCCGCGCCCAGAAGACGAGGGCACCCGGGAGGCGGACCGGCGCCGTGAAAGTATCAAAAGTTGAACTCCACTTTGATATCGCACTCCGACAGGCTACAGCTACGTTTCAAGATCAAAGGAAACGTGAGAAGACTGACAGTGTTTGTTTACACCGTAATTTGATCGGCCACCTGTCAGACCAACATAGCCAAAATGGAAGCCGAAATCAGGACCGTTCTCCCCAACATCGACCCGATCATCTCCGAGTATTCGGCCGGCTATCTCACCCATGCCTCAACGGCCTGGTCCGGCGATGAGGATGCTACCGGCCCGTCTCCACTCGTCGAGGCCGCTTCCGCCATCACCGACCTGCTGATCTCGGCCTCCGGTGGTACTAATGCCGCCCTGCAGGACAAGATCCGTCAGCTGGTCGACAAGTGGGTGGACAGGTACTCTGCTGCCAACGACAGCCAGGAGAAGAGGGGTCCGGCTGTGAAGCGTCTTGACCAGACTATCCAAGTGAGCGCTCAGAGGAACATCTCGTCGACTCTGGCCGTGGCTACGGGCGGCGTCGATCTCGAGTCGGCCAACGCCAGGAAGGTCGAGTCCAAGGTCGACAAGAAGAAGCTGGAGAAGGCCGAGAGGAAGATTGCGGCCAAGCAGAACAAGAAGACCTTCAAGACGGTCGAGTATGAGGCCTCGCGTCTGCTCAACCAGGTCGATCCTGCTCAGTCGTACGAGGAGTTCTACATGGCCGTCAACCCTCTGCAGATGAACGGCTCTTCCGGCAAGACCAAGGACATCAAGATCGACAACATCGACGTTACCATCGGTGGTCTCAGGATCTTGACCGACACCACTCTGACTCTCGCCTACGGTCATCGCTATGGTCTCGTCGGTCACAACGGTGTCGGTAAATCTACGCTTCTCAGAGCCCTCTCTCGCAGAGAGGTTCCCATTCCTACGCACATTTCCATTCTTCACGTCGAACAGGAACTCACGGGTGACGACACGCCTGCCATCCAGGCCGTCTTGGACGCCGACGTTTGGCGTAAGGTCCTTCTCAAGGAGCAGGCCGAGATCATCAAGAAGTTGGCCGACATTGAGGCTCAGCGCGTCGGGTTGGCCGACACCTCAGCCGATGCCGCTAAGCTTGATAGGGAGCGTGAGGTTCAGGACAACAAGCTCGGCGAGATCCAGGGCAAGCTTGCCGAAATGGAGTCGGATAAAGCCGAGTCGAGAGCGGCCAGCATTCTTGCCGGTCTGGGTTTCTCGCCAGAACGCCAACAGTTTGCGACCAAGACGTTCTCCGGTGGTTGGCGTATGCGTCTCGCCCTCGCCCGAGCCCTCTTCTGCGAGCCCGATCTCCTGTTGCTCGACGAACCGTCCAACATGTTGGACGTCCCCTCCATCACGTTCTTATCCAACTATCTCCAAACCTACCCCAGCACCGTGCTCGTCGTCTCTCACGACAGAGCTTTCCTCAACGAGGTTGCCACCGACATCATCCACCAGCATTCCATGCGGCTCGACTACTACCGCGGCGCCAACTTCGACTCCTTCTACGCCACGCGCGAGGAGCGCAAGAAGGTGGCCAAGCGCGAGTACGAGAACCAGATGGCGCAGCGTGCCCACTTGCAAGCCTTCATCGACAAGTTCCGGTACAACGCGGCCAAGTCTTCAGAAGCCCAATCGCGTATCAAGAAGCTCGAGAAGATGCCCGTCCTGGAACCGCCCGAGACCGAGTACAGCGTGCACTTCCAGTTCCCCGAGGTGGAGAAGCTCTCGCCGCCCATTGTGCAAATGTCCGAGGTTACCTTCGGCTACAGCCCCGACAAGATCCTGCTGCGCAACGTCGACCTGGACGTCCAACTCGATTCCCGTATCGGTATCGTGGGCCCCAACGGCGCCGGTAAAACCACCATCCTCAAGCTGCTCGTCGGCAAACTTTCCCCCACTTCGGGCCTCATCACCATGCACCCCCGTCTCCGCATCGGCTTCTTCGCCCAGCACCACGTCGACGCCCTCGACCTCAACGCCTCGGCCGTCTCCTTCATGGCCAAGACGTACCCAGGAAAGACGGACGAGGAATACCGTCGCCAGCTGGGCGCCTTTGGCATCACCGGTACCACAGGTCTGCAGAAGATGGCCTTGTTGTCCGGTGGTCAAAAGTCCCGTGTGGCCTTTGCCTGCTTGGCGCTCACGCAGCCGCACATTTTGGTTCTCGACGAACCGTCGAACCATTTGGATATCGAGGCCATGGATGCGCTCTCGGAAGCGCTGCAGAAGTTTGAGGGTGGTGTGTTGATGGTTTCCCACGATGTTACCATGTTACAGACGGTGTGCAAGAGCTTGTGGGTGTGCGAGAATGGAACAGTGGAGAAGTTCCCTGGTGATGTGCAGGCGTACAAGAAGAGGATTGCGGCGCAGGCGGATGCTGCGGGAGTTGTCAAGAAGCATTAAGACGGGATGATGGAAAAGTGGGGGTGGTGGTGGTTGGGTGGGAGGTGTGAAAAAAATGATGTAGATTGTACAAAGCGAAAATCTCAAGGTTGATAAAGCGGTCATAAAGTGTTATAGATTGTTGTGCTCTGTTTCCATGCTTTGTGTGACTATGGTAGAAATGGTTCTTCACTTGTTCTTCTACTTCGTGCTTTTGATGTTGTAAAGTAGCCCAAGGTAAGGAATGATACGGCCGTCCTCTGGAACTGTGACTGAACATCCATACGAGCAAAATACCTCTAGGTAGAAGAGGACCTAATCATGTATTTTCTTTATCCTTGTGATGGGCATTAGATATCTGATCTTACGTCCGCATTTATCTCAACATAGAGTTTAGTGGTGGTGTCGTTGATCACTTAAGCCACGGAATGTCAACAACCCGCCTGCGAGCGATATCTCCGCATTGGACTGAATGGTATTACACTTCGCGACAACCTTTGAGAACATTGATTCATGGATATTTAAGAACAAAACAAAATGGGCGGCGATATGGTCGGGAGGTACTGACTATGACTGATGGAAGACAGCAGTCATCAAGGGATAGATCGCGAGTGGCAAGCGACGGGAACGCCTACCAAACATGTCCTTCATCTCTCACATGACGAGGGCAAATAGGAGAGCGTGTTTAACGATGCAATCAACAGGTGTTTGTAGTCGAGGCCAAGGGTATAACCAGTTGTATTCCTACATTACAGCAAAATAGACGGTATGGTGAAAGCTTGTACCAGCTTTAAGTCTTGAACACGGGTGAACAAAGTCCTTCAACATTCCATCACCAGGGTTCGTATTGACATAGTGGCCAAGGGACATTACGACGAAGACATTGGAAATCACAAACTCGAAGCGGTCACACATGGCACTTTGTGATAACATGGTTTTAAAACACTGAAAACTTTTGATTTGGTTTCCGCTGGATGTAACAGCTAGGAAAGGTATCTGACAACTCCGAAACCAGAAATATCCCAAGGCGCGATCTATAGATCAAGCGACACTCAATAATCAATGATAACCAGAAAAAGAAGAAGAGAAATAAGAATTTCACAAAAAAACAATGAAACCCCTCCTCGATGCCCGTCATCGAGGGATATTTTTTTTGTTCAAGGAGCCGAAAGGTTCGGTTTACTCCGTAGACGCACCGTGCGCCAGAGCCAAGTTCTTCCAACGGTCGCGCTCTGCGATCAGTTCCTCGATCTTAGCTTCCAACTCCTCCAAGCGCTGAGCCTTGCGCTCACGAGACTTGCGAGCAGCCAAAGTGTTGCGGGCGCGCTTCATGGCAACGACATCGGAAGGATCCTCAACAATAATGGGGGGCAGAGGCTTGTCGCGACGACGAGAGCCAACACCAGCGACTGACGAGTGACGACCGCTGGGAGGGCTGACAGACGACTTCCTCCTCTGATGACCAGAGCCCGGAGACAAAACCTCCAAATCCTCAGATGGGGTAGCAGGTGAAGCTTCAACAGACTGAACTGTTTGCTCAACGGTCGGCTGAACGGTCGGCTGTGCAGGTTGAATCAGCTCAGGCAGCGGTTGTGTTTGCTGCTCAGTCTGAGTCTGGGTCTGAGGCTGAGTCTGGACCTGAGCCTGAGGTAGCGGGGTGGCATCAGGGAAAAGTGAGAACCACGTGTCTGGGTTTTCCAGGTCACTATGTCCAAAACTAGGAGAGATGTCGAAGGTATCGAAATCCGGCGAACCGTCGAAGATGGAAGGCGAAGTCAAAGCCGTAAGAGCGGTGGAGCTAGGTGCAGACAAGTACGGCTCATGGAGCAGAAGCTCCTGAGGCGAGACAGTGCCCATGTTGGAGACGGAGCTAGGAACGCTGCTCGAAAGATCGTATGTCTGGTTGGCAGGCGAAGCGAACGCCGCCTCGGTGGTAGCTCCACCGTCAAAGGTGGCGAAATCCAGCAGGTCCAGTTCTGTGCGAGATTGTAAGCGCATGTTGAGAGGCGGCATGCGATAAGAGGTGTAATTACCTGAGAACATCTTGTTGCCCTGCTTTCCGTGCGAAATACTGCCGGTACTTTTGGGAAACAAGGGAACAGGAGGGCGCTGCTGTGCGCGGTTCTGAGTGTTCAGGATTGAAGCTGAAGAAGGTGCTGAGGAAGCGTAGAACTGTTGCGGACGCGAGTTCTGAGAAGAGCTGTACCGATTGGTGAAAGCCGAAGAATTGATTTGGTGCCCTGTAGCCTGGATGATGTTTGCAACTCGCTGGTTTTGCAAAGACGGAGACAAATGCTGGCTACGATGTTGCTGATTCAGGTTGATACCTCGGGTTGGAGGCTGGAGAGCGTTGCGATTATGTTGACGGTGTGGTCTGATCGGCTGATCGAACAAGACAAAGTCCTGAAGTGGTGGCTGTTGTTGTGCTGGTGATTGCGCGGAGAGTGCCGGCAGGCTCGGTGAACTGGAGGGAAGCCATGTTGACTGTTGGGAATCCGTGGTGAAGACTGGAAAGTCTTGGCCGTGAATGGTGGCGGTGGGGGTAAGAGAACTTGAGCGCGAGCTACAAAGCTGGGTGCTGAAGTTCAGATCTACCTGTGAAGGAAGAGCTGAAGGGGTTGACGAAGAGGGGGAAACGTAAAATTGTTTAATGTTGACGATTACCGAACTGGAGTTCGAAAGAACGGGGAAATGGGAGCGATTTAACGCATCTTGATGGATGCTTCTCGTGATACTGTTTTGGTTTGATAGGGTGGATTTGGTTGCAGAGAAGAGAAAGGAAGGTCAAAGAGGGAAAACTGGGCGGAGGGAAGGATTTTGTATCAGGCAGCAAACTGCAGTGCAGGTGGCCCTGGCAGTGCCGGGCAAGGCACCCACGCACGGCCGCGCAACCGGTTGGTCCTTGCCCACCACGAAACCCTTCTGAAAGGTCAGATGGAAGTGTGCGACAGTGCGCGTCCCCAGGCCAATGCAGGCGCCATGGATCCACTCCCCACCCGCAAGATTTCATTGTGCGTTCTTATTGGTTGCAGCACAGCCAAGCCAAAGGGGGAAGTATGAGTCACAGCACCGATACAAGAAAATTGCAGAACTAACATATGGATGGCGGCGCTATTCTGTAGAGATCTGGGCAAAGCACCAATCCTGCGGGTCGGTACACACACTAGCACTGCCCCACCTGAGGCAGTCAGCCCCGCTGACCGAATTGCCAAGAGCCAATGGAGACGGAAAGCCAACGCTGATGGAGCACCATCTGAATGGACCTCGCTCGCTTGCCTGGAAGGGACAAGGGACACAGGAGACAGGGCCTCCAACCAAGGGCGCGGGAAAGACGATCCCCAAAGTCGCAACGGCCCAGAAAGAACGCATCACATTCGGATGGGATGGCTTGAAGCCAGCTTGCAGCAACCTCAAAGCTTCCATCGAGCTGTACGCGTATCCGCACCTCGGGCAACCTTCATTTCAGTCCATCCAGTCCACCACCAGTCCAGAGAGGCAGGGACAGTTGGGAACTTTCCAGACTGCGATGACCAAAACGATGCCATCATCGGTTTGCCGGTCCGCATGAGAGATCTTCTCCCCTCCGACCACCATTAAGAAAAAAACCAAAAAAAAAAACTGCAGCCGATTTGATACCGATCAGATCCCGATTCCTCGATTCCTGTTTGGAACTTTCAAGCCGACTCCGTTCTTCTCCACCTCCCAAGAATTGCGCAACAGTCTCCTACATGGCTCCTCCTTGCTTTCACGGCGCTGTTAAGGGAGACTGTCGTTGGGAATGATTGAGCGGAAAATACCATACCCACCGAATGCGTATACTTCACGTGTATGTACCAGCACGTACACCACACAACTCTCTTTTGCGTTTTGCTTCTTGTGCGTACCGATTTTTCCTCGGCTAGCCTTATTGAGCTGTGCGGTCCATGTGCCAACCATGAAAGAAGCTCACCGACGCCAGACCTGGTTGAGCTCCTTTCCTACCGATATCGGACAGTTGAGTTCGTACAGACAAGGCTGGCGGCATCTGGAATTGGTTTCTTCTTCTGGGAAGAAATACATAAAGATCAACAAAGCTTTGTCGTCGAATCAGCAAAAGTCAATTGCAGTTTTTCTCCTCAACATACGTTCTCCGCGGGGAAGCCAAGATACACTACTTTTCACAACTTTTGTGTGGGAGAGCTTGGCGGCCAGGGCGACCTGAGCGGGGTACAAAAAAGGGTTTCCACGTTTCATTTTGACTCACAGGACTCATCGCTTAAAACGTGTTTTTGGTGCGCACATAGTACACTGTAGTGTACGGATAATACCTACTACGTAGACCAGCTACGATGCGCTAAAACAGCGTTTCGTTCTTTCAGCGAACGCTGGAAACGAGATCCGTTGTGTTGGACACGCTTTACGATGCAGTAGCGAACGGTCTCGACGTGAATAGCGTTGAACAGGCTTCTAAACGAAAGCGGGATATAGTAGCAGCGGAGCAGTGTGGGAATTGGGGCAGGTTGATTCGCGCAGAATCCCTTTGTCTTTTTTCTTCTGAGGCATTTGGAGATTACAGTTCCGTGCAAACATACAGTACGTACACCGACAACCGGAAACAATGGTACTAGTACGTTAAAAGTTCTACCGGTTGTCGGCCGGCTGAAAGATAGGTATTTTTCACCACTTGTAAGCCTGTGATACCGGCAGCCGAGCAAGCCGTAACCGACGGAAACTATCGATCTGCATCCGAATACCCTCATCACGATGTTACGGTATCATGAGAGCAAAAGTTGTTGAAGATGTCATGATGTACATACACTACAAGTACGCAGCACGTCGAGGAGTGGCCACAGCTGACGACACCATTTGGCAGTCCTTGAGGCATGAAAGTTCTTTGGCAAAGAGGATGGATGCTTCCATCTGGACCAGGCATGTATTGCCGTTATATATCCAGGATCCAACAAATCACACAAAATTCCAACCCGTCAGGGCAGATACAGTGATGAGGGCAGAAAGTTTTGAAGAGCTTTTTTTTTTTTTTTTATGAAACATGAACACCCGAAGCTGCAACCATCACGATGTCAAAATGCCGCCCGCTCATGCATCGATGCATTGCCCTGACATCTCGATATGTGTCCCCGGTGGAACCGCATGCCGCACACTTGGCTGATAAGGACTCGGGGCCTTTTGGAGCCCTGACCACGTTTCGCGGATCAACTACGGGTCTACCACGGGGCAACTATGGATATTTTTGAGAGCCCGGAATCGTGAACACTGCTTCCACGGCCGGTCTGGTTCACCGATTACTATTCGGACTACTCTCCGGAGACCCCACAGAAATGTCGCCATCGCTTGCCAGTCTCGCCAGCCCACCGTACCAAGCGCCGAACCTTGAAAAAGTTTTACGGCCACCGGACTGCGGACCGTGCGGACCTGGTTGAAGTGGGGTCCGTAATGGGCCTGGCGGGCTTCGTGGGGGGCGAGACTCCCAGAGACCGTGTACGCAGTAGACGCCATGTTGATCGTCGTGGAAATCGTGGAGCATCAAACCTTCTCAAGCAGTCAAACTGGCTCAAGTCGATGGCAAGCTAATATCGCAAGCAAAGAGCGGTGATAGTTCCGCGATGATCGAAACGTTCAAGAGGACACCCACACGATCGAACACAGGGATACGGGACAGACGCGACACGAGTCTGGAGCAGAGCTTCAAGGTTCGTTACTATCCGGTATTATCACATGTTGATAAAGAGCGTGTTGGCCTTTCACCTGAAACGTGGTTGGGTGGCTTTCCTCAAGCAAGTACAGGCCGCACCATATCAACACGGCAACCTCCTTTGTTCGAGTGTACTTTGATGTTTCATATTCATGTTGGCACATGTCAACCTATCCTCTCATCCATACCTGTACTCGTCCATGCATCTACACCTTGTTCTTTTCCCAACACCTTTTCTTTAGGTGTCGGTTTTTTGTCACCGTCTAGTCAGTCATGTGGAACCAAACACTTGCCTATTCGAAGCGGCCAGTTGGTCATGACCAGGTATATCATATCCAAACCAAGCATAAGAAGAAGAAAAAAACATCATCCAAAACCTCAAGCGGAGTCAACCCAAACCATGAACCACATCACAGAGTTCCTCCGGGATGCTGATAAGGCGACGGCTGCACTTGATCCAACGGTGCCTTCTGCGCCGCTGGATCATTCGGCCAGTGTCCACTCTGATGCTGCTTCACGGGGTTTGACGGTTCCCTAGAAACGTACGCATCCGGATTCTCTCTCATTATCTCATCCTTCCTGCCCACCGCATCCCAATTATAGTTCCCCTCCTTCGCCGCCTTGAGGGCCTCCTCGAGCCACTTCTTCCACTGGAGCGTGCCAGGCAGGGCACCAGACCTATCCACCCACGCATCCTTCTTGGTCTCGCGAATCGCATACCAGAGCGTCCTTGTGAAGTTGGGCGGCTCGTCGTTCGGATCGTGGCTCAGGACGTCTGCGGGCGTGATGTCCGTAAAGGTATATCGGGAAAGGTCCCAAAAGAAGCGCTGCGGCAGCAGACCGCAGACCCAGTAGATGCTGTTGAGCAGGACATAGGCGCCGCCGATCAAGGCCTGGGACGACCACCGGCAGTTACCCAACAGCACCACGGCCACCATGAGCAAAACCATGGCGATGCCCATGAACAGACGGTGGAACTTTGTCGACACGTAGCGGCACTCTTCCGTGCCCTGGTACAGCTCGCGCGCAACTTCCTCGGTGCATTTGACCACGAGGAAGGCGCCCTCGCGCGTGCGGATGACCACGTCGCCCGGTGGCACCTTGGCATTGGCTTGTCGCGCCATAAGAAGCGGGTACCACCACGAGGCGTAGCCCATGACGGTGGCGGCGAGGGAGATGGTCACGATGGCGGTCACGGCCGCGCCGTCATTCCAATAGGCTGTGATGATGAGGATCGTGACGGTGAGGAGGAAGGAGAAGACGTTGATGACGTGCATGGGCGAGTCCAGGGCGGGCGGGACGGTGTAGCGCGCGTTGGGGCTGCTGGCGACGCGTTGGGGCGTCATCATCTTGGGCGCAGTGACCATGTCGGTGATGCGCTCGGACATGGTTGGCTGGCGGTTGATGCCGGGCGTGGGGACATGGTCACCTTGCTCGGGGTCGACGTCGAGGGTGACGTGCTTGTTGGTGCCGTGTTGCCTCCTGAGGGCGTCTGCGTCTGTTTTCGCGCTCGCGTCGGTGTTGGTTTCGTGGCTTCCTCCGTTCATGCCGTTTTCTCTTGTGTTGTTGAATGTGATCTCGCTGTTTCTATCTTCCGCCTTCTTCGCCTTCTTCCTCTTAAGCCATCGGAGACCGAAAACGGTTCCCAGAAAGCCTTCCTTCTCCAGCCGTCTGCTGACGTCGGGCTGGAGAAGATGTGTATGCTTGATCTCAAACACTCTAAAGTCGAACGCCTTGTACTCGTCGAGTGGGTGCAGAATGTTGGCAAAGAAGCCGACGGAGTCGAGGAGAGTACCGCCGTAGACGCCTGCCAGTTTGGCGTGGACTTCGGGCAGTCGTTGGGGCCGTTGCGGACGGAGCAGGGCCTGGGGCGCGGGAATTAGGCGCGGAAGCATGCAGAGAGAACTGGCGGTGATGGTTTGAGCGAATTCAGCAACGCTGCCTTCGCCAATGATGGCCAAAAGCGTGATGACATCGAAGCTCCATCCCGGATTGATGTTCTTGCCCCAGGGGAACCAGTGGTAGAAACCATCATCGTCGACGTCGGGCATGATGTTCCAAGTAACTGGTCCAGTAAACCAGAGGTTTTGGTTTTATGACTATCCTGAATCGTTCGAGTATATCAGACTGATAGTCGCCAATGGCTTGGCGTTCTCGGGTAGTAGAGGAGTGCTATGCTGCTGGCAGGGCTCAAATGCGATTGAGATGCCAACGACTACTCGGACAATCCTTTAGTCTGGTAGTCCGACCGAGGATAGGTAAGGATGAAGGATGATAATAAGTTCAAAAAGTCTGTCAACGCCTTGTTAGCTGTACATACATGAGAGAGTGTTCTGGAGCTCCTTGAAACTACAGAAGTACAGACATACCGAGATAGTACTTTAAAGAAAACGAAAAACCAAGCTCCAACCACAAAAGTAGGTAAGAGGTCGCAAAGGTTCTCGAGTCTCCAAGCCTCCTTTTTGAGTCTTCAGACACAAGTCAGCTTTCCCCTTAACGAATCAGGCTATGTCTCGAATCACGGGGCGTCAGCGCTACTTTCCAACGGCCTCTCAAAGTGAGGATCTTTGGAAAAGCGCCAACAAAGCGGAGTCTCCACCTGTGAAGGATCAGAGTGCTGCAACGCGCCCAGCTAGGCGATAGGCAAACCAGCCTCTCACCTTTCAACGGTCGGTTCTAACGACAAGGGTGACTTGACAGGAGGCTTGATGAAGAAAGTAATAAATGGACGGGGCTTTTTGGTGTAAACATGAAAACAATGTAAATATGGAAATGAACTACCTACCTGGACAAATGCGACACCTACACTTCAAAGTGGTGTATAGAAGAGGGTATAACAGCTCGTGGGTAGGTATATTCATCGCATGAAGGAGAAAATGATGCTTCGAAGGCGTCCTAATATCCTGTTCTCGATCGGCGATATGAGCCTCCTTGAAGTGTTACCCGAACTAGAACCGCGCCTGAGCTGAATGCTGCAATGCAACCCTCGCGGTAACAACTCAACCATCACAGCCTCTCAGAACCCCAGAAACTCCCAGCGCCTAAAAGCCCCCCCATTCGAAATCGGGCAGCCAAACCCTTATGACAAATGAAGGGAAGTGACTGAGTGAAATGTTTGACCTCGAGACTTTGTTGTGGATAGCGAACCACCAAGCACAGAAAAGACTTGAATGCAGCACGCAATGGCTGAACCACAAATGGGATGGTGGGTGGGTGCCGCCTGGAGCCTTGTTGCGCTTGGTCCGTAGGCAGCGTTATTCCCGACCAACCTAGTTGAGTGGTTGTGCCACCAGGACCGCCTAATGGGCTGTGTATCATTCTGGGTATAGATCCAACGCGCCAGGCTGCATGAGACCCCTTCTCCCTCTTCCCTCCTACCCTCCAGATTAACTGAATGACCACCTTGCAGTTCGTCTAAACTCGCACCTTGGCTTGCGCGCCCGTGTGCGATTGAAATGCGACATGGGGAAAAGGTTGAGGGTTGCCTTGTGGCGGCCGACATCAGATACCAGACGGGCAAAGATGGTGAAATAGTTGAGCCACGCGGGGCTCTCCGTGGCTGTTCATAATGGTGGTCGATCTTCGGACGCCCGAGGAGATGAGATGTGCAGTGGTGTGTGACAGACCATGGTCCGTTTCATGTCGTGTTTCTCTCAGCCCCTAACTGGTTGCTGAGGCTGTGAGCATATGCTGTTGGTAGCCGTTCCGCTTATCGAGCTTCGAAAGGCGGATAACGACCCCGAGTCGAAGAGGTTGTAGATGGGGAAGTTTTTACATACGCAGCGAACAGACCATGAAGGGTGCAATGGCGGTAGGGTACAAAGCATGAGCTATAGGGGAATAAATTGAAAGCTAATCAAGGTCCAGTGTGCTTCTCAACGAGGAGTAGAAGAACTTGATCACGAGTCAAGAGGAAAGGATATCAAAGACGCCTCTCTAGCGTGTACAAACGACCACAAAGATCTCGCTTGAATCAAAAGAAGAAAAAAAATAAAAATCACCGCTTCTGGATTGACTTGTAAAATCATTGCGCCCACAAACCTTCAAGTTCCCTTCCTTCTAAATCTGCCACCCCTCAGCGTCCATCCCGTCGTCCTTGGGGATCCCTCAAGTGAAAATAATGAAGAAAAAAAAAGTAAACGCCACAAAGCGCTGAAATCCCTCCCAATCATGGATGTATCGTAGGCCATCTCTTCGTAACATCGGTCATGACTCGCCGCCAGGAATTCAAAGGCATGGAGACTAGAGCTTCTGGTGCAAGCTTTTCAGCACCAAGTCCGGATATTCCCGCACCAGCTGGTCACAGAATTGCTTCCACAGCTTCTCCCATGTTCTTCTGGTTTGGTCCTTCTCCTTGTCATCCATACAGGAGTGGTCAATGCTCCACTCGATCAGTTGGCGTAGCCCATAAAGTGACATATCTGCCTTCCCGACCATAATCTGGTAGAAGTCATGAGATAAGCGAGACCTGTATGAATATTTGTTAGCAGGCTGAACACCGAGCAGGATTCCAGAGAAACGAACCTGAAAAGAGTCCCGTTGTCGGTGCTGATAGTGCAGTGCACATCATTCGCCAACAAGCTGTAAACCGTATGCCCACTAATCCTAGGGGTAAGGCCCAAGATCTCGTTTGAGATAGGACACACCTCAATACAGACGTTTTGCTTCTTCATTCGCTGCGTGACGTATGGATGCCAAGCCAACGCAAAGCCATGGCCGATACGCTTTGAACCTAAAAGAAGAGCGTCCACCAAGTTGCCGTCGGTCTCCGTGCCGACATCCAGAGTCTCGCCGCAATGGAACAAAAACGGAATGTCGACCTTTGCATCCCTACACTTGTTCTTGAACTCGAGAAACTGTTCAATAAAGTGACTGAGTGGATGACCTGCTCCTTCCTCGCCAACAAGATCGAATCCTACAGAGCTTCAGTTAGCCTTCGATTCCCCGTGACGGCGGCTGCAGAATACGACATACCGGCGATATATTTCGCATACTTGTCATTCTGCTTCATCTTTAAGCACTGGTCCAGGGCAAATTTGACCTGGTTGGGGTTGAAAGACCGTGGTGTGCAATAGATGATCTTGAGTCCCTTGAAGATTCTGTGCTTGTGAGTCTCCTGGAACTTCTCATACACACCGATAATGAGGTCCATGATTCCTTCGTTGTCAATCCTGCCTTCGCCATTGTCATGCCAAACCTGGTTGGTTTCCATGAAGTTGGGGCGAATCTCGGCGTATTGGATGTTGTCGTTCACAAACTCCTCCAAGCACTTTTGCGTGTACTCCTTGTAAGCTGCCTCGTAATTGAAAAGCCCTTTCATCATCTGTGTATGAGCATTAAACCTCTGCCAGGCACTGTAGACAGTATTAGCTTTGTAATTGGTACGAGTCAAGAATCCACGTAGGACCTACCCCTTGGCCGTTTGATGTGGATTGTAAGCCTCATCCGGCTGAAACACGATTTTGCGTGTCAGGTATTCGTCGACAAGATCTTTCCCAGACGCAATCTTCAGCCAAGATTTCTCATCGCTTGCATATGCCTCATCGTACTTCTTGGCAAACCCGTTGCAGAATTCCTTGAAAAGCATGATGTGTTTCGGTTGGCCAGACTCATCCTCCTCCTTGGCTCCATTGACATCCGTTTTATCTCGTGTGAAGAGATCTGGTTGCCCCAACCAAGTTGTCTTGAAGGTACTATCGCTGAGAATGCTGAACTTCAGGTGGCATCGCTCAAAGGCCTTCTTGTCAAGCAGGGGTATGTCGCTCATGATGTACATGTAATCTTGCTCTTTCGCAATGTTGAGTAAAACTTCGGGGAGCAAGTTGGCGTTAAAGTGTATGTGAAGGTGAGCGCCTTTGGGCATCTTCTGAATGGCCCGGTAGAGTTTCGTTTTCTCAATGACTGGGGCATTGACTAGAAAACGATCCCCGGGGACGCGCTTGTGTTTCTGACCAGCATAACCCTCGATTCTGGCCTCCTTTTCGTAGACCTCGGCGACATCTAGGTCCTTCAGTCTTTGGATCACCGCATTTGCCTTCATCTCCGTACTATCTGCCTCGCTTGTGCAATGGTGGTCGAACCCAAGTGCCTTTTCGCGCCTTATGACCTCATCACGCTGCTGGAAATATTCCTTCGCGTTCGGGGGCGTGGGCGTGTCGATGTCTTGTTGGAGCAGCTTGATGGGTGTGGACTTGTGCTGGTCCCTCGCTGCAATCACTCTGTCGAATGATTCAACCAAATCATACGGCCTGGGGGGAGGCGCCCGGGGCTTTTCGTCGCCTGAAGCCATCTGGTCTGAGATAGGTGGGGATGATGATTTGCTTGACGGAACAAATGGAAAGATCCTTCGTAGCTTGCTTAATGGGTGAGGAGAACTCGGGTCTTTTTTTTGAGCCATGCCACACATCTCGTGGGAGCACCGACAGGACTTTTATAACCTTTTACATGCGGGTTTGAGTTCAACGCAACGGCTCCCTCTCGTCCTCCCTTTACGCATCCGGCAAGCGGTTTAGTTGAGATGATAAAGAGCCCGTCGTTGGCAATCTTCCTTTCAAGTATGAAAAGTGATTGCTCGACAGATCGCGCCAAACAGCCCGATGATAACAATGAAAGGGCGGTCCAGCTTGGTAGAGAGAAAATAACGGGCGTCGATACTAACGCTCTTAGCCTATGGCGACCGTGGACAAGTCGGCATCGTTGGATGAGCTCGATGGCGCCAAACAGGGGGTAGCTCCTTTCAAACCAAAGGGATTAAGAACGTTGAGCCGCGTGGAGTGGTTTGAAGAGTACCTCGTGTTGGTTTCTGAGGCCAAATTGAGGTGAGCAGTAGATGTGTTCGGATGAACTGAAATCTGAGCGTCACAAGAGTCTCGGCAGGGCTGTAAGGCACAGCAGACGGCGGCCAAGGAAGGGCAGCAGCCCCTCACAAAGGCGCTTCCCTCGCTTCGCGCCTTCTGGTAGGAATGCCCTATCTAGGATGCCACGCGGGAGCCTGTGTGCCTCCGGTAAGGTAAACAGCTGTCACGGTACACTCATACTTGTACATACCGACCTAGCTTACAGTCATGCCCCCGGCCATCTCCCGTCCCTTTTCACCTGGAAGAAAAAAGTGTGATGTTGCAATCCCGTGGCTGCGCCTCCTCAACTCCTCAGGCGGGTGTGGATGTCCAATCGCAAGGGACCTATTGTTGTAGCCAGTGGGCTGTGTGAGCGATCTTGGCACACAGGCATAATCATTTACAGTTGAGACCCCTGAAGCTGCATACTCCAGATACTGCATATATGCTAGTTAGTGCATAGAATCTCCACGTCTGAACTGGCTATTTTGGCCTCAGTCCCGCTTCTAGAAACTGCATTCATCCTACTCAGTGCATGGGTTTTGGCGATCTGGATTACATGCAGTTTCAGGGGTCCCGACTGTATATAGTGGTTTATGCACGATCCAACGCCAACTCCAACTTCAATAACCTCCGCCCACCACACGAGCTTGCTGTTATTATAATTACTCAACACCATCCCAGCTGACAATGACTTACACCGTCCGCTATCCCTTCTTTGACGATGTACTTCATCCCTTGGTATCCCACGGTTCAATCAATTGACAACATCTTTCACTCTGTTGGTCGACATGATGCGCCGCCTTGATACACTCGCAAGCAAGACCAACAGCCCGTGACCGTTTACCACTTCAATAATTGCCCACTTGCTCGAAGCATCATCCAGCGCCGTGGTAGCCCTTCATGTAGCACACCATCAGCTGATGTTAGGAAAATCCAGCCTCACGAGCTTCAGAGGAGTGTCATATGCAATTAGAGAATCACCAGGAAACATATCGAGCTCACCTACCGGGGCCGGCCGCCGGACATTTGAGATCATCCGCCATACACCGATAGCCAGACCTTAGAGCGGAATACCAAGCCTCCGAGATGACAGAGAGCCAAAGTCTATTGACTCAGCGAGCGGACTTCCAGTAAGCAGACGTACCGGCAAGCTAGGTAGTTTGTGGTATCTTACTACCTAGCTGGTCCAAACATCGAATCAATGAGCGAAGTTAAGGAAGCAGCAACTTGATACCGAATGCGGTGAAATTTATGATCCCTTCCACGAACTTTTCAGAAATTTCTGTTGAAGCAGGTTAAAAACTGGCGAACTGAAATTTCCAGTTGGGATTAATCATACACCTTGTACACTTCCGGACGGACTGGGGTGTTTGACTACCAGTATCTTTCCCTTGCCATCGTTCGGTCCAACATGTTAAAGACATACCGTCTCCAACATGTGCCAGCGCAAACGACTCGGCAAAAAAATGTGTGTCAACAAACAAAGCCCCGAGCCGGATGGATCGATCAGAAGGAAGCCTTTCTGAATGCCTCAGGCTAATAGATCCCATCAATTTTTCTTCCCTCCAATCACAGGACGACGGAAATGCGTTGCGTACCCAATCAATCAACCACTGTCCATCCGAGCGAGGCTGTGCCGGTTCGTCTCAGCCCTAAACCACCCGCTTGTCAATTTGAGGTTCAACTGTTTCCGGTCCCTTGGGACACCAACGGTTGCTCAGATCTGCCCATTCTGACAAACTAGACTATCTACCAATCCACCAACATAGCCCAACGAGCCGCCTTGATCAATGCCGAACAAAGTGGAACATCTCACTGCCTACCATCGTATTTCTCGAAGAAGAGTGATTTTGTAAGCCCCATCCGGCAGATGAACGGTCAAAGAAGGAGACAACGATTCCGGGCCGTTATACCGTGTATAGTATACCGAACGCATGCGGGCTTAGTGTGACCGTTGGCCCTTGGTGATACTGATGGCGATGGAGAAAAAAAAGGGGACAAAAAAATGGCTAGGTGACAGGGAGTGTTGATCAATGGGTATGATATGACATTGCATGGACATGACTGTCTCACCGTGGAGTAATTCAACCTCACAAGGCTCTCTCACGACCGGCGGGGAAACACCAAAACAACCCCTGGTTTGATTTCCGGTCCAGAGTCATAGCAGGCAACAACAACCGACAACTAGTACAATGGAATTTTAATTCAAAGTGCAGCTTATCTGGATAACAGGAGTCAAGCATGGGCGCTACGTTTATCGCATGGCCGAATGCCGGGAAGGAGGCATAAATCACCAACCACAGAGTCGCCAGACCTGCGTAAACGGTTTCACTTGACATGGCATGCTATCCAGGGCGATAAACGGTCGGATTCTTATTCACAATACATCTCCCGTAAGTAAACTTGATGTAAGCTCATTATAGATGGTTTCGGTAACTCGGTACCCACGCATCGCAATCAAGCTCCGCGCAAGTCCATACCAGAAGCTATCCTGATTCTAGTCTATACACATAGGAGATGGTAAGGGCGGCAACGATTATGGCCAGTCACCCGTCCGTCACCATCTATGTCTTACATATCGCCAAGTATGAGAATAACAACATGATGCTGTCCTCTAGCCAAGTTGAAGAAAGATGCACGCGCCCACCCCCGGACAATGCATCAAGATAGGAAAGAGAAAAATTGGTATATCGCAAATGCAAACAAAAAGCACACAGAGAAATCCTTGACTGGTCGGAAAGAGGAAGCAAAGCTTTTGTTATACCAGAGAAGAACCGAGTTTTAGCAAGGAAAGAAAAGGAGACAAGTCTGACAGGACAGATCAGTCTATCAATGACCGTTTAGTCATCGAACTTGATGCCGCCGACGGCGAAGGTGTCGATGCGCCCGCCCCGGTAGCTGCCCCTCTTCTTCTTGTTCTTCTCCTTGGTGAAGCCCTTGCCTCTGGTGACGATCAAATCCTCGTGCGCCTTCTGGCCCCACTCGTGACCGGCGAAAGCGTTGGAAGCGAGACGCGGGTCAACTACGACATCCTTGCGCACGCGAGAGAAGGGCTGGATCTCCTTCTTGGGTGGGGGGCCATTGGCCTTGCCCCGGTTGTTGGTCTTTTCCTCGGTGGTAGGGACAGGAGTGGACTCGGTGGAAGCCTTGAGCGTGGCGGAGGAGTCGGAGCCGTTGGTGGAGGCGGCCTTCTTCTTCTCAGTCTTCTTCTCGTCCTCAGAGTCGGACGAAGAATCGCTGGAAGAGCTGTCGCTCGAGGAACTGTCAGACTTGGTAGCCTTCTTGGCTTCCTTCTTGACCTCCTTCTTCTCAGCCTCAGACTCAGAAGAGTCAGAGTCGGAGTCCGAGCTAGAGTCGGAATCAGACGAAGAGTCGGAAGAGGAGTCAGAGTCGGAAGAAGAGCTCGAATCCGAATCGGAAGAGGAATCAGAAGAAGAGTCGGAGGAAGAAGAGTCCGAGCTAGAATCGGAAGAAGACTCGGAAGAGGACGAGTCAGAAGACTCCTCCTTCTTGGCGGCAGCGGCCTTCTTGGGGGATGTGGCCTTAGCGGCGGGCTTCTTCTTGTCGTCTTCGGATTCGGAGGAAGAAGACGAGTCGGAGGAGGAGTCAGATGAAGACTCAGAAGAGGAGGAAGAAGACTCGGCAACCTTCTGCTTCTTGGCCTTGGGGGCCTCGTCCTCGGAGCTGGAAGAGTCGCTGGAGGAAGAATCGGACGACGAGGAAGAGCTCTCAGAGCTGGACTCGGCCTTGCGCTTCAGAGGGTTGGTGGCAGGGGCGGCGGCCTTGGTCTTCTTGGCCTCATCCTCGCTGGAGCTGGAGTCGCTAGAGCTGTCGCTCGAAGAGTCGCTGCTGCTGCTGCTAGAGCTTGAGGACTCGGCCTTTTTGGCGGGGGCTTCTTTCTTCTTCTCATCTTCGCTGTCGCTATCGCTGTCACTGTCCGAAGACTCGGACTCGCTAGAGCTGCTGCTCTCGTCATCGCTGTCGCTATCATCGCCGCTGGTGCTACCAGCCTGCTTGGGCTTGGCCTCCCAGGTCTGGAAAATGGAGACGAGGGAAGCGTCGGAGGACTTCTTTTCCCAGCCGTTCTTGGTGATCTGCTTGGTGAATTCGGTGGCAGCGTCTCCGAAGTTGTTCTCGGTGAGGAATTTCTCAACGGCAGCGAGGAGCTGGGCGGAAGGCTGGGCGACAGCCTTCTTCTTGTCGCCCGACTTCTTAACGACCTTCTTGGTGCCGGCCATTTTGTGTTTTTGTTCAGTAGAAGGCTCTGAGGCAAGAGCGGTCGACGAGGAGGTGGTGTTGTTGGAGAAGAGCCAGGAAGGCAGGGCGGACATGGAGGTGGGAATACAAAAATGCCAGAAGGATCCTCTGAAACTCGAACAAAGATCGGTTCTGGACAAAGGACGCGGGCGCGCTGGGCGAGGATCGACTGTGGAATTCGAAATTCAATGGGCCCCGCGACGGACGACTGGCAAAAATTTACGGGGCCTTGGCTGAATTGGGCCAGACCGCCTTCCTTCTTGGGTTTCTGCCGCATGTCTCCGCCCTTTGGCCTACCCTTGGCATCTTGTATTCGGGTACCTCGTCCCATGTTTCTTGCTGCAGCTGTCGGACAGTGGCAAGGCGGGGTATCCTTGCGGCCCCGTCTCAGCGACGGGACAAGGTCAAAGCTTACTGTCGATGTATGTTCTTACATACATCGTCACACTTATCGGCATAAACTGTTGTTGTTCGCCGATGGTGACCCTGCTCACAACCCATCCCTTCTTGAACACTCGTGATCCAGTTGTCGATATTGGATCGTTTCCAGGATTTGATGGTACCGTTGAGAAATGAAAGATGGATGCCACGATAATTGAAAAGTCATTCGACTCCAGTTCGGCCCTTATCACCACGAAGCCCCTCAACGGCTTACTCTTCGCTGGTCCACGAAGAGTGTTGGCCGTTATTCCACCAGGCAGCCGAATAAGCTCGACTCCTATTTGCTCTCATATTCGGACTTTTCGCTTGTAGCGTTTCAATCTTCGGACAGCATAAGGAGCTCCAGATTCAGTGCCCCTTGGCCACAAAACTGCTGACGGGTGGAGGCCATTCATCGCTAAGGCAAAGCTGTTTCTTCGTATTGCTGGCAACGGACGCGTCACGGCGATGATGGCCCCGCAGAAGCTGCCCTTATGAAACCATTACAGAGGGGATATGTGAGGCTCAGCACCTGGTAGAGTTAGGGATCTATAAATGAGAAATCCCGACTTTGTTTGATGATGGCTACTTTTCTGAATCTTTACTGTGAATCACATGTTGTACTCTTGATATCACTTGTTGCTGCCTTTGACTTCTCTTTCCCAGAACTCCATCGCCAGATTTGACCAAGATGAGCGAAACCTCTCCCTCCTCCCCCCTCCTCGCCTCAACAGACACCAACCCGCCCAAAGGAGGACCGGGTCTCAACGCCTCTCTCTTCCTCGAACCTTCTCCCGCCTCTGCTCCTTCCGAAGCCGAGGACTGCCTTGCCGCCGACGATGATTTCGATAGCGATGATGACAACGACAACAACAAGGTCACCAAAAGGTTCGGAATCAGTGCCTCCCTGGTGATGATCACCCGCCTCATCCTCTTCGTTCTCACCCTCGCCAACATCATCACCTGGGTCGTCGCCGGAAGACTTGGCAATAACGGCTTTGTGGTGGTCATCTTCGTTGAACTGATCTTCATGTTGATCACGAACGGGTGCTTTATCTTGAAGCTGGTGCGGGAGAACCGGCGCTGCAATGTCCGTGGTCTTAACTTCAAGATTCCCAGGATCTCACTCGCGGTTGGAGACTGGTTTTGCGTCCTTGACGGCCAGAACTTCTTGGGGCAGAAGTGGATGGATGATGATAAGAAGACGAAGAGAGTGAGAAGCCTTCTTGTGAGGCTGTTTGGGGTGTTTATCGAGTTGTATTTTGGGATAACGTTGATCGTTTTTACGAGTAAGTCCCCCCATGAGGTACTGGTCTTTTGAGTCAAGGAACAGGCCATTCAACAGAAATAGACTACTGACATGGAACTGGCAATCAACTAGAGTGCGCCTTCGACGCTGCTTGGTGGTACTACTTGAATAGATGGCAAGCTCCTCTCATCATTGGATATGTTATCGGGTATGTTACTATCTGAACGCGAAGCCCATGATTTGTGTACAGTACTGATATCTTCCATCTATATCTACAGAAGCTTTCAGCTTCTCGCCGTCATCCTCGACCAGATCAAGCCGCTTGGCCGGAGAACTACCATCGAAATCGCATACCACAGTGATGGACCTGTGCAAAAGGATTATTACATTCAACTCCCCGTTGAGACCGAGGCCGAGGCAGTGAATCCTCCGATGTCCATCGCCGCTTGATTATACGCCTCTATACATACGGTAAACAGGGACTTCTTCCACTGACTCGTCTTGGATCTTGAAACGTTGTAGCAGTGGCAAGGGAGCACGCAACGTTTAAAGATGCAAGGTTGCGAGTTGGTAGCTTTACGGGCGATGAACAGAAGCTATCACATGTTGTAGTCTGCTGGCTACACCGACGACAATATGCAATGAATAAAACCGAAAATTGGAAACATGGATATAAACAAGCATGACCCCTTAGCTTGCGGATTAATCAAATACGTGTTGCCCTTTTTTTTTCTCGCACAGCTTGAAACGAGCGTCGCTGTATCCAAGGCTTAGATGTTGATGAACAAGAACCACCACCAACTCCACCACCAACCCACTCATTCACCGCGCACACTTCTCCCACACCTCTACGCCAGTAAGCCACGTACTTCCAACCATCAAAAGCCCAATCATGCCCGGCCAGTCTGGAAACCACCCAACAACAGCACCCGGCTGAGCAAGATCAAGCAAATCAGCCGTGATCCTACGTTTGATCCGCATACGGCGATCCATCCGAATCGCCATCCTCTGCTCCTCTTCTGCCCTTTGTTCCAACGCAGCACGCTGGCGCTCCTCCTCCTTGAGTTGATTACCATGCCCATCATCCTCTTGTGTTCCTGTCTCGTTCTCCTTTTCCGTCTCAGAAGTTCCATCACTGGCAGCACCACCACCACCACCACCACCAGCCAGGTCGCGGTCATACACCAACCTGACCACACCCCCAATCACCCCGCAAACAAGCGCAAACAACCAAAACCTTTGACCTTCCACATGCAAAAACCTATTGACCTCTGAACCCCACGGGTCCAGCCCTGGCACGCCCAGCGCCGCGCAAAATCCCAGCGTCTCGAAGAGGAGGTACATCCCATTGAAACTCTTGGACATGATATCCAACCACATGTAGTACATACCTACCTCGCTCTTGTTGAGTTCAGTTTGTGCCTGGTATTGGTAGTAGAGAGTCGAAGCAGAATGAAAACTGTCCAAGAAGCGGAAGAGCCTGAAGAAGCGGCGGCCTTGTGCTAATTTTAGGCGGACACCTAGAGCGGTGGTGATGACTTGGGATTCTGCTTTGGCTGACGGGGAAAAGAGTTCTTTGGAGGGTGGAGATAGGTTGGATGTGCTGCTCAAAAAGAAGGAGCCAAGGAGGATGCGGAGGGAGGAGAGGATGAGGATGAAGATGGAGCGGATGGAGGGGATGTGGGCGATGCATTGGGCGAGGGCCTGGAAGAGACGGAAGGTGCGTTCGAGACCGGCTAAGAGAAGAGGGCGTTAGTCAGGTTGAACAGACTGTGATATGCAGTGGATGTTGGGTTGGAGAAGCGCAGCAGAGAGTAGAGGTATTAAGTGCCCTCAGCGACGTTCTGGAGAACGAGAAGGGAGTGCATCAAACTCACAGGCATCCGTCCCAAACTTGATGAGAGTCTCAAAGTTGCTCCGCTTTTTCACCTTTATCCGCTCAACCATCACCACAACTCTCTTGCCATCAGCTGCAGCCGCAGCCGCCCCCCGTTCGTTCATCGTGGTGTCCGTGTTTTGACTCATCCCCTCACGAACCTCAAAACTCGACGTGCGTGTATGTATGTGTGCTTCAAACTCGCAAACACAAATTCAACACACCGATCCCTCAAGACCCAGTCCCCTTCCCACCACCCGCTCCCCCTCCCTGTCCTCCTCCTCCTCCCTTCCCCTGCCCCTGCGCACCCCTCTTCTTCTTCTTCTCCTTCTCCTTTGCGTCCTTATCGGCTTGTTGCCGACCACCCAGCAACGGACCAGCCAACAATCCTCCCACGTCCTGAGTTGACCCGGTCCTCAGCGACAGCGAGTAATAATAATAATAACCCCGGAAACTGGGGATGCTCGTGGGACGGATGATGTGCGCGCCAGGCCCGCGGGCAAGCGAGGTGGATGCGTGGCGGGCGTGGATGCCGAAGGAGGAGCCGACGATGGAGGCGGATGAGGGTGGGAGGGAGGAGGTGGATTGGGAGCGTTGGTGGGAGAAGCCGCTTGGGGGCATTTGGTGATGTGAGGGTGGGTGTGTATGTGTTTGTGTTTTGCTATTTGAAAGGGAGTCCAGTAGAGGGTTGAAACTTGTTGAATTCGAAAATATCGCGGTCTGGTGGTGAAGGTAGTGAGGTTGTGAGTGTTTGAGAGTAGATGATTTTCCCCACAAAAGCGGTAAAGATTATTTGAGCTTTTTGAATGAGATAATCTTCAGGAGAAAGCCTGTTGTAATGTGAATCAAAAGTCGATTTGCACAGCCAAAACAGGACCCATCGGCGTGACTGTTTACGACCTCTCATGAACCTGAATTAGGAAAAACCGAGGGGCAGAAGAAGGCTGTGAAGCTGTGTTTTGGGCGTCTTGAGAGGCGTTCATTGGGCAGGCATGGAGCCCTGGGAAGATTGACAGGTCATCAGGGTCCCCAGAAAAAGGCCGTTCTCGGTTGTGGACGAGTGGAAACACGCGCGCGGGAGTACCCTGAACTGCTCCCCGGACATAAAGTGGAGGTTGCTGGGATGATGGCTGGATCTGTTCTGGGCCTGAGTTGTCAACGGTTCCATAGCGGAATGAAAATCATCACCACCAAAACACAACACATGTGATCTGACGGGATCATCAACAATATCTGACATCTCGCCTCACCACTTTGTGTCTCATCCAAATTTAATGCCCCACCTGGTTAAGAGCACACCATATCTGCAAGACGTGAAGGCCAAAATAAATACAATAACATAAGCCCAACTGAGTGAGTCTAAAAGCTTCTATGGCATGGCTTTTGTGCACAGACGTATGATACAGACACGCTCTAAAAGCGGCCGGTTTTCTCTATGTTGGGCTTATAACAAAGAAGGCTCTATGCGTACTGGGAACGCACTTTCTTCGGCCTCCATCCTGTTGTTCATTATTCACTTGAGAACCATGCATCAAGCACTGTTGTCTTTAGACCGCTTACATGCCAGGCGAGACGAGCTTGCCCTGTTGTCTGGCATTGCGTTGCCAGCCACCGGCAAGAGCCTCACCACCGTTCTCCTGGGCAAACTTCCGCATACGGGCCTCCAGCTCGGGCCGGAAGTGGCGGATGAGGCCTTGAATAGGCCAGGCAAAAGCTTCGCCGAGAGCTGAACAAACCATTGTCAGTACCAATCAACGATGATCATGGAACAAAGCAAATAGACCTACCGCAAATGGTGTGACCTTCAACCTGCTTGGTCAACTCCTGGAGCATATCAATCTCCCTCTCGCGGCCCTGACCCTTCTCGAAACGCTTCATAATCTGCTCGGTCCACTTGCTGCCTTCACGGCAAGGTGTGCATTGGCCGCAGGATTCATGGCGGTAGAAGTGGCTTAGTCGGGAAATGGCGCGGACGACATCAGTGCTCTTGTCCATGACGATAAGGGCGGCGGTACCCAGACCGGACTGGCTGTCCTTGAGCGCATCGAAATCCATCAACTGGCTATCGCAGATGTGCTTGGGCAGGATAGGCGTCGAGGATCCACCGGGAATGACGGCCAAAAGGTTATCCCAGCCACCGCGGACACCGCCGCAGTGCTTATCAATAAGCTCACGCATCGGGATGCTCATCTCCTCCTCGACAGTGCAGGGGTTGTTGACGTGGCCGCTGATGCAGAAAAGCTTGGTACCCTGGTTGCGCTCACGGCCGAAGCCGGCAAACCAGCTGCCACCGCGGCGGCAGATGGTGGGAGCGACAGCGATAGTCTCGACGTTGGCAACAGTCGAAGGGCAACCGAACAGACCGACGGCGGCGGGGAAAGGAGGCTTCAGACGGGGCTTTCCGGGCTTGCCCTCAAGAGACTCGATCAAGCTGGTCTCCTCGCCGCACACATAGGCACCGGCACCGCGGTGAAGGTAGACATCGAAATCGTAGCCAGAGCCGCAGGCGTTCTTTCCGATAAGCCCATCAGCATAAGCTTCGTTGATGGCGTTCTGTAAGATGGCAGCCTCCTGGATGAACTCGCCGCGGATGTAGATATAGGCAGCGGTAGCGTTCATGGCACGGCCGGCGACCAAGCAGCCTTCGACAAGTTTGTGGGGATCCTTGCGCATAATCTCGCGGTCCTTGCAGGTACCCGGCTCACCCTCATCGGCATTGACGACCAGATAACGGGGCTTGTCGTCCTTGTCCCAGTCCTTGAAGTTCATGAACGACTGACATGCAAGAGATAACAGTCAGTAAGCATGCCTATTAGTTTTATGTTCTCGAAGCCCATTTTGCGAACACACCCATTTGAGTCCCGAGGGGAAACCAGCTCCACCACGGCCTCTAAGACCAGAGGCCTTGACCTCGCCAATGATCCAGTCGTGACCCTTGAGGAGAATCTCCTTGGTCTTGTGCCAGTCGCCCATCTTTTTCGCATGCTTCAGGTCGGGCGGGTAACGGCCGTAGAGGTTCTGGAAGATGCGATCCTGGTCCTTGAGACCGCCGTAGTGGCGTACGGGATTGGCAGAGCCATCTTGGACGGTCGCAAAGGTTCGGCATTGCTCGACGGCGGCGCGCGAGAGGGTCCTGGCCGACGCCTTGGTGGGCGCCGCGGTACGTGAAAGCATGATGGAAGTCGTATCTGCTCCGGACTCAGAGCAGTGTGGAGTACGCCTATGGAGGCCGGGAGCGGGAGGGGCGGACTCTGGGGTGTCGTTGTCGGGGATGGGGACTCGAGAGGAGTGGGTGGGTGAGGTTATTCCACTTTCCCACCTGTTCGGTCCCCCCATGGGGCTGGTTTGCCTCGCTACATTATAAGTTCATGGACGTAACCGGTTCTTCCCTCATCCTGATTGGCGGGCCGTTTACTGTAGGCTTAGGTGTGGCGCTTGGGCCTGTGGCGGGAGCTTCTTGGTGCTCCGCTGTGCACTGCAGACGCCAGACGGAGGGGTGCAAGTCGGAAGCTGTGACCAACTGCCCTGGCTGGGCCAGCTCGTCCCGCTTCACCTCCTTACCGACATCTTGCGCTTTGTTCCTGCGTCGAGATGCCCTTCTCTTTCGTCCCAAGGTGCGCTATGCAGCGGCGCATGTTGTCCAGATCAAAGGTTGGAAAGAGTTGAAGGTTACAAGAGGTCCACGAGAATTTAAAGACCTCAGACCCAACAGATCCATCATCCGCGAGTCAGGGATGCCCTTTGCAAACGTCAAGCATGCATGACTAGCAAATCCCCGCCCACCGAACCCTACGACCTCCATCTTCATCTCCATCAACTCCATAAACTTTGACGATAGCGTCCGAGCTTTAAGCTTCCAAAGCTTCCACCCCGGGCATCGGCCATCCGAGATCTAGAGTTCCGTCCGATCGAGCGACCAATACCAACCAAAGGAGGGACCGTCAGATTTTGAGACAAGATCTCTTTGGCAAGACCATCACGAATAAATACCCATCGTGACAAAACATCACTCACCATAAGTGATTTGGCACCAAAAACACAAACGAAACACAGCACTAATGTCATCAGCAACCCCCTCCCCCGTCCCCAGCTCCGCCCACGGGCATCACAAACGGCATTCCATCCTGCCCGCCGTCTCCCAATCCGGCCCAAAGCCCCCCGTACAATTCTCCTCGTCCTGCACCATCGCCGACAGCGCCCTGCTCACGGGCCCGCACACCATTATCGTCAGCACCGAGAGCGTGATCCACCCGCGCGCGCGGCTCGAGTCGCTAGGCGGTCGCGTCACGGTTGGACGGCGCTGCATCGTGCACGAGCGAGCTTGCTTGGGGGCGGCTGACCTCCAGGGGAGGTACCACAAGGGGAGTCCGGATAAGGAGGGCCGCTCGATGGGCGCGGTAACGCTGGGGGACTACGTGACAGTCGAGGTAGGCGCGCAGGTTGAGAGCGGCGGGACGGTGATCGGGGAGGGCACAACGGTGGGCATTGGGACGAGGGTTGGGGCCGGGGCTGTTGTTGGGAAGGTGAGTTCAACTTTGACAACCTGGGGTGATCTCGCTCCTGTACTCATGGTGTCGTCGTGCCTTCATCGTACTAGACTGGACTGGACTGACGCATTGATACTGCCACAGCATTGCACCCTAACCGCCAACAGCACCGTTGCAGCAGGTGAGGTTATTCCAGACTACACGGTGATTTACTCAAACGGCCTACGGAGAATCGACAAGAGAGGAGTGTCGGATCTGAAGAACAAAGCACAAGCGCGCCAAATCGATGTTCTTAGGCGAATGATACCCAGCAACCCCGGAAAGTTCCAATAATACCCAGATTACTCCCTGGTGTGATGGTAATGAGTTCACATGCGGTGCTCTAATATTGTTCTGGCTGCATGTGAAGGAGACTTATCATCGGAGAAATCTTACGATGATTGCATCCCAGAACCCACCGATATCGCATGGCATACAGAAAGAGGCATGTCAAAAGGGGTTTGGTTATCAATTCCTGCCATAGTAGGGCTATGAATGCATAAGAAAGGAGAGGTGCAGCTCGACTCTGCGAAAGAAAGAGGGAAAATAGCTGGAGTGGCGTGACAGAAATACGATCGTGCTATGGGAGAAGAGAAAAAGAAAGAAAGATGGATATTGACGGAGGGAAAATGCATCACCGAGGGAAAAAGGTAGCTCGGATTCCAATGTTGCGGAAAATGCAAAAAACTAAGGAACGATCGGGAATTGAGCCCGACGTGGGGGTCGAACCCACAACCTTGAGATTACGGAGGAACTCCTTAAGAGTCTCACGCTCTACCGATTGAGCTAGCCGGGCAAGCGGCTATCAATCACTCCTTGATGGATGAATCACTGAGTCCAGTTCCTATAAGATTCATTTTACTACGAAACCCAATGTTCAACGCAACCAAAACAATCAATGCCTCCTCTTTTCTGTCACGGTATTCCTTCACTGCATTCCCACCCAAGCTACCAGATATCAGGATATGTTTATTCCTTCCCCTTACACCCACGTGATATTCCCTTTTAAAAAACCATCTATAGAAATCCCAGTTTTGCCGTAATCATTAGTGTCATGACGCCTTGGTCGTCCGAGTTATGTTATCCCCCAATCTCCAACTTGCATTACCTATCCCATTCCATCCCATCACTCCCATTACAAATACCTAACCTTCATCCACTCACTCGTCCCCAGCCCCAAATTTAACCCATTCTCGGCCCACCACCTCCTCACCCTCGTCTGATCACCCAACGAATCCTCCAGCGCCTCCTCGATATCCATCGTTTTATACTCCACCCTCTTGCCCTTCCTCCCATTCATCCCGGGTAGCTCCCCATGCGCATACCTTCGCCACCATTCCAGAACGGGTATATGCGCATGAAAGGTCGGCTCTATAAGAATCTGATTATCAAACTGCATCTTATCGTCCCCCCTCAGCTCGCGCCACAAGTCCAAAATCTTGACCTGGCCCCATCTACTCGCTATCTTGCACACGTGCTCCTGGTGCTCCAAGGGCACCCCGGACTGCTCGAGCCACCAGCGCATGATCTCCACGTGGCCGTACTGCGCCGCCATCAGCAGGGAGCGGCCCGGTTTTAAAGAAATGTTTCGGGACGGGTGTTCGCGCTGGGAGGCGTCCCGCCACCACTGTAGCACGTCCAGATGACCGCGAGAGGTGGCTAGCTCAAAAGCGGATTCGGTGTATTTCAAGGGAAGGCCGGAGCGGCGCCACCACTCTAGCACGGGAATGGAGCCGCGCATGGAGGCCAGGTTGAGTGCTTCCGTGTCGTACTGCTTTTCCAAGAAGGAAGGGGATCGCGCCCACCATTCGAGGATGTCGGTGCGGTAGTAGTAGGCCGAGGCTTTGGTAGGGATCGTCTTGCCGTCGAAACATTTGAAGAGGTGCGGGAAGTTGGACTCGATGTAGGTGAGAACTTCGGTGAGGCCGAACTTGAATATTAGGTGGACGGCCAAGGCCGAGAGGTCTTGGAAGGATTCGGGCGCTTGTGAGAGTTTTTCGCAGATGGCTTTGGTGTTGGCTGTCAGGAGCGTCCATTCAAGCTCGTGCATGAACACCTGGAGCGGGTCGTTGGGATCTTTGGGTTGCAGTCGCCAGCCTTCGCTCTCGGGCATGGGAATGGTGGTGAAGACGCCCATCGAGGTGGCTAGCTCCCAGTCGTTGGTGTATTCGAAGATCATGCTCCATAGTTCTGGTGGTAGTGTGCTTCTGGCCTTCTTCCCTGTTGTGGCGGATGTTCCTTGCTGAACGGATACTTCGACGGTGTGACCGATCTTGAGCAGGTCGGCCTGGTTCTTGATGATGGCCAGTACTTCGTTGAACACGTCCCATTTCACAATCCGTTTCGGGTTCGGGCTGTCGTCGTAGTGCCACAGAATGGGGGGAAGAACCCGGATCCAGCTCCATTTTCGATGAAGCTTGCTGATCTGCCTCTTAGTCATTGGGTTCTCCCACATGTGAGTGGTCATGCCAGGTATAAGAAGTATCCGCTTGGAGGCGTCCCAGCCCCTCAAGACCTCTAGCAGCAGTGTATCCGCCATACCGCACATCATCCTTGCCAGGTGGTCTGCATCGATGGGAGCAATGACGAGAAGGTCAGCCCATTCTACCAGTTCGTCGGCTTGCTGCTGATATGTTTCCACCTCCTTGCCCGTAAGGCCATCGGGTCCATCTGCCCTCAAGTTCCTGTTCTTGTATACCATGATCTCTTGCGCTAACCGGTGGGTCATGTCGTCTACTATCGCCCGTGTTGTTATTTGCGGCTCTTTCGACAGGCGGACGGCGATGGCTTGCGCGAAGGCGACATCTCGAGGGCCGTTTGCAGCAATCAGGAGACGAAGTTTTCGAGGACGTTGGATTTCGCTTAGCGATGGCGTAGACGGGATTCGCTCGATAGCAGAGACTCTGCTTGCAAGGCCAGAAAGAGAACCGTTGCCAGCCATAGTGGCGAGCTGGCGGTATTAGGCGTATTGTTGTCGCTTCTTCGTTCGGTCGGTCGGTCGGTCGGTCGGTCGGTGGTTCGAAATATTGAAGGGCGCAGTGTTTGTGTTTGAGTTGGGTTCGAGAAAGAATATCGGACCGTCGTTCCAGGCTTTGAACTAGGTGTATGTTGCGCTTCTTCCACCGTGGATACTTGCCTGAGATAGATCGGAAGGCGGGTTGCTGGCAAAACACCGTATATGTTGTCGTGTTGAGCCGATATTGGGCGACAATGGACCAAAATCAATGGTAGCGAACTGTGATTGGCTTATCTCGGAAACCGTCGGATAAAAGGGTCCGGAATGACGACACTGGTCTTACGATCAGAGTATTATTGTTGTCACTGTCAGGTTATGCAAAAGGCTATGACATGAGAAATCGTGAGAAACAAAGAGGGGGAATGAACTGTTTGCTGGTGGGCGAGTGGTTCCAGTGTACAGAGCGAATCAAAGGCGCCACATGTCGAACGTTGAAGGGAAAGGTGGGTGACGGGAGATAATCGCTGAGACACGGGAGATTCCCGTCCTTTGGAGGTGCGCGATTAGTTCTAGGTACACTTCGTAAACTGAGGTGCTGTATAGTGTACTGTACAAATGAGAGTCCGGATACAGTGGGGTGTCAGTCGGTTCTTTTTTTTCTTTAAATCGTCAGTCAGTCCCTCTCTTCTGTGAAACCCCTTGAGGCCTTCACGCAGCAGACTGTACGGCGCAAGAGTGACGTTTTCCTTGCCCGTTGCTCAGATGCCCAATGAAGCACCAAACCGACGGCCCGCCCAGACAGGAAGCAGAATGACAACAAAGTGCCCCAATGCTTGGCTGTCACATTCGCTGCACAAGCAGACAAGCCTGACAACAAGTTCGCACACCCTGCTGCTCGGGGTGGGGTACTGCGACGGGCCGGGTGGAGAAGATCATAGCGGCGGATCGGAATGTTCTCCGGATGATGAAACCGAAACCGGGAACGTCGCATCGAATCTCAACTTTCCACAGCAACTGAGAATCTAGGCCATGGGGAAGATGGAGACCTTGATGGACCCATGGACCCTGTCTTACTTGGCAGCACAGCCCAAGACGTGAACCGTTCTTTCACATAGTTCCTCATAGAACAAAACACCAAGAAGAATGCAAAGACATCATACTCAGAATGAAGAGACCGGATATTATATGTAGATCACCGCTCGAATTAAAGGGCTAACCGTGAAAAGAAACATGCAATACCACAGCCATGAATCCGCGTCTAATCATCCAAGCCCAATCCGTCCACCTGGCCCAAAAACAGCCCCTGCTCGCCCTTCAGCAGCTCACTAACATCCAATCCAGTGAGGTACCTCTCGCTGACGCCCGTGTTGATCCTCTTGCTCAAGAGATCCCTCAACGCAGCCCTCAACGACGCCAACTCGCCCTTGCTCATCTGCTGTGCCTCCTTCTGCTTCTGCTTCTTGGAGCTACCCTTGCCGCCCCACTTGCCCGCCTTCTCAAGCTCTTCCGAGTCATAATCAACGCCCAGATCCTCTGCCGCCTTCTTCATCCAATCGTCCTCCTTTCCACCCATGGTCTTGGCCTGCACCGCATCCGCAATCTTCTTGGCCAAGTCGACGCGCTCCCGCAACTTGGCGACGATGCGCCGGTCGATATCGATGGTGCGAAGTCCGCTCGAAACGAGCTTCTTGGTGTTGTTGCCCGAGTTGCCAGCCTTGACCTCGGCTTGGGCGTGCACCTTGGCAACGAGGCGCTGCGTCGGCACGGCTTCCTTGGGCCCGCAGAGCAGGATGCTCGTGCCCGAGTTGGAGGCACGGGCGGTACGACCGGAGCGGTGCACGTAGTCCTCGGCGGCGCGCGGGACGTGGTAGTGGATGACGAGGTCGACGTCGGGGATATCGAGACCACGGGCGGCAACATCGGTAGCGACCAGGATAGCTGCAGAACCGTTCTTCTTCTTCGCGCCTTCGTTGGCCTTGAAGCGGTCGATAGAGCGCAGACGGGCTTGCTGGATCATGCCCGAGTGGAGAGGGAAGGCCGGAAGATTGAGGTTCTCGAGGAGGGGAGTTAGGCGACGGACAGAGTTGACCGAGTTTGTGAATACAAGCGCGCGCCGTGTGGGCTGGAGCATAAGAGTGGCATAAAGGTATAGATCCTTCTCCATATCGCCGCACATAATGAGACCCTCCTTGAGGTTCTCGGCCATTTGGTGGACGGGATTGGCGTCGACAAATTTGGGGGTCTCGCGGAAGTTCAGCTTCTGGAGAAGATACTCCATGTCTTGGGTGCTCGTCGCCTTGAACTTGGATTTTCCGGCCAACTTTTGCTGCAAGTTCTTGTTGAATGTGGCGGAGAAAATGAGAGTCTGCCTCTTGTTGACGTGCTCTTCTTCCTCCTCCTCCTCCTCCTCCTCCTCCTCCTCCTCCTCGCTGTCCTCTTCTTCCTCTTCCTGTCCCTCTTCATCAGTACCGCCCATCTTCTGATCCTCATTGTTCTCTTCCACCGGTGGCCTGTCAAGAGCCTTGAAAATCTCCTCGGCCTCCTTGAAGTGACCGTCCTTCAAAAGTCTATCCGCCTCATCCAACACGAGGAAGGAGATGTTCCTCAGAGAAGCGAGCACAGAGTTGTCTGAGCTCATAACCTCCCACATTCTGCCCGGGGTCGCAATGACGATATCGGCGACCTGAAGCTGGCGTTTTTGCTTCTGTACGGCCATGCCACCAAGAACCGAGCAAATGTAAGGTGCTGTAGGAAGACCCTTGCAGAGCGCTTGAAGATGGTCTCTGATCTGCTGGGCAAGTTCTCTGGTGGGTGACAAAATCAGCGCTGTAGCGCCCTTCCTCTCCTCCTTGTTCTGCTTCCTCGTCTCAGCAGCGCTCAACCAGCTTTCGATGACGGGAATGCCGAATGCCAACGTCTTTCCCGAACCGGTGGATGCTTTTCCAATAACGTCGTGACCAGCCATGATCTCGGGAATAGCCTTGGACTGAATCACGGTGGGCTTGGAGAACCTGAGTTTGGCGATGGACGAGATCATTCGAGGCGACAAATCGAGTGGTACCCATTCGGACATATCAATTTCCTCCTCTTCAGGCTCAGGAAGCTCCTCCAGTTTGGTGAAAAGATCGGTTTCTAGTTCGGGGTCCTTCGGTTCGGCAGTAGTCTTCTCGTTCTTGCGGGCCTTCTTCTTGTCCTCGGCGTTCTTCTTATTCGCTGCCTTATTTGGCTGCTCCTTCTTTGGCTGTTGCTTTTGCTGCTTTTGCTGCTCCTTTGGCTTCTTCTGGTCCTTGGAGGCCTTCTTTTCCTTGGCCGGAGTACTCGCAGCCTCGGCCTTGGATTCTGATGTCTCGACTTCCTGGTCCGCATTTTCAGCAGGTTTCGGTGTCTCTTCGTCGTCGAAACCACCAAACTCTTCGCCGTCATCTTCTACCTCTGCCTCTGACTTGGGGACCGCAGCCATCTAAAGACATATGTGAGTTCATTCATGTCCTGTCGCTGTCATCATCCATGACCAAACTTACGAACTTGACAACATCTCCGTCCTTTACAATGTCAACACCGGTAATTTCTTCCAAACCAAAGAAACCCTCGGCATCATCGAACATTTCGGGAATGTCGACCGTCTTCCATGCCAGCGCATCAACGGAAACAGGTCGCTTGATCTGCTTGGACGACTGTTGCGTCTTGCGGCGCTTTGGCCCGCTAGCGGGGGCTTTTGTGTTCTTGCGCTTCTTGTCGACGGCCATGGTGTGAATATGTCGTCGTGTTCGGGTGGAAAAGGGTGTCGGGTTTCAGTGCTTGTTGGATGCACTGATGAACGAACTTTGATTTGAAGGGTGTTAACACTGCTCAGTGAAAATGGCTGTAAAAGTGAAATGGAAATTTTGGCTCCACCTTGCAGCTGGGTTGCAGCAGCCTCTAGCTGGAACAGGCTAGCCCATGTGCTGTAAATGACACCGCCTACCTATTTCAGGTCTGGCTAACAAGCTTGCATTGTAGAGGGTGCTGATAGAACAGGACGCGGAGACAATCAACCTGGTTTCGATGGAGAAAACAGAAAATGAGATGACATCTTATATCTCAAATACTTCGTTTATTGCCAAAGTATTTCCCTCCAAGTATGCGCGTCTGTGATGTGCGAGTGCTAGGGCCGCCAAGGTGCGCGGTAATTATGCCGGCAGAATCTTTTTTGGCGGTGACTATTTGCAGCAGACGGACCCAATCCGGCGCCCAGCGACAGCGACCCGTCACAGGGCAAAAGTGGGGCCCAGTCTCTTTCACAAGCTCCCGTCATTCACTCTCGTCACCCACTCGCGGCACTTCATTATTTGACACAAGTAAGTGAGAGCGAAGCATTCGAAATGGGAAAATCATCAAAAGACAAGCGTGATGCCTACTATCGCCTTGCAAAGGAGCAAGGATGGCGTGCCAGAAGTGCTTTCAAGCTTCTTCAACTAGACGAAGGTAAGAAATGTTTTATTGCATATGTAAAGAAGTGTATCACTGCTAACACCGAGCGTTCCCATCAGAGTTCAACTTGTTTGAAAATGTCACTCGTGTGGTTGATCTCTGCGCTGCCCCCGGTTCCTGGTCTCAGGTTCTATCGAGGGTTCTCATCAAGGGAGAGAAGTTCGGCCGTTGTGCTTGGCAAGACCGTGAGGCCAAGTTCCGCCAACAGATGCTCAACGTCTTTCCAGAGAAGCAAGACGCTCAGGATGAGGTTCAAAAGGTGCAGGAGACCCAGGGGAGCACGCCGGCTCCCCGGGAACAGGTCAAGATTGTGTCCATCGACTTGCAACCCATCAGCCCTTTGCCAGGAATCATCACCCTCCGAGCCGACATCACACATCCCGCCACCGTCCCGCTTTTGCTCAAGGCGTTGGACCCCGATTTCGACCCCAGCACCATGAACCAACAAGCGTCACACCCAGTGGATCTGGTCATCAGCGATGGTGCGCCCGATGTCACAGGTCTGCATGATCTTGACATCTACGTCCAGTCGCAGCTCCTCTTCGCAGCCCTCAACCTCGCCCTCTGCGTTCTCAAGCCTGGCGGCAAGTTCGTCGCCAAGATCTTCCGGGGCCGCAACGTCGACCTTCTCTACGCCCAGCTAAAGGTCTTCTTTGAAAAGGTCTACGTCGCCAAGCCCCGCTCTTCGCGCGCCAGCAGTGTCGAGGCCTTCATCGTCTGCATCAACTTCCAGCCTCCCGAGGGTTTCACAGCCAACCTCGAAGAGCCTCTTGGTGTCGGCAACAAGCTTGCCGAGATGTTGGCCGAGAAGCAAGCCAAGGAGGAACCAACAACAAAAAGTGCCACCCAGACGCCAGCAGATAAGGATGGCATTTACGACGTCGAGGTGGAGGACCTTACCAACGAGCCCCTGAAGGATATTCGATGGGTAGCCCCCTTTGTCGCCTGTGGCGATTTGTCCGCTTTCGACTCGGATGCGTCCTACAAGCTCCCAGATGACCACGTCTCACTCGACCCGGTTCAGCCGCCCACGGCACCGCCGTATAAGCGTGCCATTGAGCTGAGGAGGCAAAACGGCGGGGCGTACAAGAAGACGGGACCAGCAACAGCGAAGGCGTGAAATATCTTTTCCCGTTATTTTCTGTTCAAGATAAGATTCCCAGTAACCAATTAACATCTGCCGACCTACCTGCCTGCTGCACATACCAAACTTATTTGTCTCATGATATACCACCATTGAACCAAATCCCTCTTGTGTCTCCCTTCCCCGTACTGACTTAATCCCCCATCTTCCTCGCCACGGCCCCCGGCCCCCTCCTCTGCATAATTATCAACTTTCCCCCACTCTCCTTCGTATCCTTCATCCCCAGCTTCCTCTCGTACAGCTTCGCGGCGTACGCGTCGCCCGTGAACAGCATGACCCGCCTCAGCTCGGGCCACTGCTCCAGCGCCTCATTGAGACACTCCATCATCCAGGCGCCGAGCCCTTTGCATTGGTACGCGGGCAGCACATAGACATCGGTTAGGTAGCCAAAGGTTACGTAGTCGGTTATTAGGCGGGCGTAACCGATCATTTGTTGCTTCTGGGGCGGCTGCTGGCTGGTTCCGTCTTTTTGAAAGTGGGGCTGTGTTAGCATGAGCGAACCTCGTGTGTGTGTGTGTGTTTGTGTATCTGTCTGTTCTTGAACTGTAAACCCTTACCTTGTTCATTGTATCCCTTCTCTGTGACATATAGCGCAAAGTTATATGAGTGCTCTACCATCCGCTTCAACGCCTCCTCCGGCAGGTCTCGCCCCCACCAGACGGTGTCAGAAGCCAAGGCGGTATTGAGCGCGGTGAGGTCAACTAGGCTTGGGTCGGTTGAGTAAGTGTAGATGGTGTTGTCGACCTCACGGGTCCAGCTGCGTATGTGGTCTCTGGGGGTCATCTTGACATTTGTTTGGATTGTGGTTTAGCGTAGAGGTAACTGATTCAATCCGTCACGACAATAGTCAATGTTGGTTTTGAATGTGTTTCTCGAGTTGAGTGACTACTTCCATGCACAAGACGTGCCTTCTATATATATTCACCGTTCTCAGAAGGAGCCATAATTACTTCGTGTATACTAACTACTACAAGTCAAGGTAGTATCAATGCAAATGACTCATTACAACGCCAGAAAAGGCATGGGCTCTCGGCTAGTGGGACTTGGTCACCCGGGCCGAGCCTCTACATGTATCCGAACGTATCATAACCTCCAACCCCTGTTATTGTCATTGACTGCACCTAATGTCAACAATGGCATAGTCACGAGGTAACAGCTCTATATGTGTCGTTTTGTTCTTGATCCGTTCTCGGTGCTTTATTGCTAATCCCGAGTATCAAATACCTTGAAGCTGTTTCTCTACGAAAGGAAAACCACCGAGAAGAATCACAACTGCGAACTCCGCGTCCTTAATTCCATATCGCCTCTTGAAACTTAAACTAGTTGACCAAACTCAGAATGCCCGATGTCATCTGCTCATGAACAACGCGCAACAGACGAGCGAGTTGACAAAACTATTTCAAGAACCGGTGCCCTTCTTCCGATGAAGGCCGGACGACCAGGGGCCTATTCGAGGGTATGAGAGAAAAAAGAGTGGAAAGGATTAGGACGAGGAAGAGTTGCAGCAAGCCGTCTGGAGTCGATCATCTAAGGGACTTGTATGTTTCCCTTTTGTGCCTTCCCACCAACGCCCCAAGATTGACCACTCAAACTTCCATCTCGACTTTTGACCGCCATCAGTCTCGAGCCGTGCGATGAACCCTTCAGCACTACTATCATGCCCTCTACAACAGTATTAGAGGGTAGATATACCAAGACATGGAGCGGTAACGATTGTGACCCGTTCCAAATCTGCTGCTGTAACGCGGTCATTTCAGGGATGAGTCGGTCTATCATGCTCCCAGTTTCTCTCTTTTTCTTCTATATATTATTTGGGTTTTCCCTTTTGTAAGATCAAATTTACTTATGCACTGTGTGCGCTCAACTGGTTACGTGTTCATTCTCATCATGTTAGTAACACTTAATGGGGGGATGAAAATTTCTCGCTGACAAGTGTACCTAGGTGAGTCAAACAACAAGGCCTTGGGCTTTTCGTTGACTTATCGTTCGAGCCGGTAGCAGGCACACCTTCACTTCACAGCCAGCTTGGATGGGATGTGAAGGGCAGAGTGCGAACTGATGGAAAAGGGGAACATCATCATCCTCAGGGGCTCATAATGGGTTGTACAAGATCCTTACCTGTAGTGAACTCGACGGTGAAACAAGTAGGAGCAACAAGAAACCTGCAGAGTGCAGGTGAGTAGACACAGTCTCGAGGGTTGCACCTACAGGTATGTCGTCGACCTCACAAAGACTAATGTAAACCATCATGGTCACTTGTCGCCTCAAAACATATACTGGTAGATACTTAGTGGTAGATATTTTTACTTGTTTGGACCGGTCCGAACATGTGTTTGAAAGCGTGAGGCAACTCGTTACAGTGAAGTTATCGTCTCAAGCTGTCCTCCCGCCAGAAGTGTAGCTGGGTTCCTGTCAATTGCACCGGGCCGTGGACATGCGCATTCCCGCAGTCAACCAAGGACAAGCGGCAAGTGCGGAGAGACAGCGAGCGCGAAGGTTCCTTTCGCGACTGAACACACTTGTGGCACTGCATGCGCGCATTGGAATGTACCATGATACACAATATTCACAACTGAGGCAAAATGCACTTGGAGCTTGGGCGGGCGGGAGTCGTAAGCTTAGTTTTGTCAATCCACTCTCATAAAAAGGGGGGGGCCTTGAGGAAAAGGTCCCACCCAAACCCCACAACCATCATCAAGTAAGTCTAGCTGATATTCTAAATATTCAAGAATGGAGGTGATCGCCGTCCTCTGAGCTCCGTACCATGACCGCGCGGGCTAAACTAGAAAACATGCTCGGTTTTGTGCAACGGCGTCTGTCTCCATGTCTTCCCCTCACTTCCCTTCCTTCGACTTTTTACTATATTGAACCAGTTCCTTTTTGGAAGGCACTCCAATTTAACATGACAGTGACGAAACATCAAATCACGACTACCATAACACAGCCTTTCCAGACCTTTTAACTTTACCGTTCTTGATTTTTTTTTATTGGGTTGATCCCTGTCCACAAGCCGCCAGCTCGTCAAGGCTTCCAGACTCACTTCGTTCTCACTCAAATCATGATAACAAAACTCACCCGGCGTGTCCTACCCGTCATAACCGGCCTCATCCTCACCTACATCCTCTTCCCCAGCCTTTACTACTACGGTGATTACGTCCGCCAAACAAATCCCTTCTCCGGCCAGCGCTCCATCGAACAAGCCTTCACACCCACCGACTCCGAGCTCGCCTGTCTCCGTGGTGGTGGTGGTGGCGGCGGCGGCGGCCATGGCTCCTTTCCCGGGTTCGGGTCCAAGAGCTACAGTAACAATGACAACGAAAATGGTCATCCATCCGACTTCTCACGAGAAGCCTCAATCCCCAACATAGTCCACTTCATCTACGGCCTCGCAAACCCGCAGTCTCACCCCTCAGCCGGGCACTTCGACTTCCTGTCCTACCTCGCAGTACGCGCCGCTCTGGTTTCTCTGCAGCCGACCATCCTAAACTTGCACTATACGTACCTCTCTTCTCCCCCGTCTCCTGATCCGGGCGCCGATCCGCTCTCAAACCCCTGGATCCGGAGGCTGGCGCAGAAGTGGCCGGACAAGTTTAGGCTGGTTCACCACCCGCCACCACCAGAAGAGGAAGGGGCAGGTGGTAGAAAGACAAGCAAAACGCAGTATGCTCATCTGTCTGACACTTTGAGGCTGCAAATCCTGTTGGAACAGGGGGGGATTTATCTGGATATAGACGTCTTTGCTTTTCGCTCCTTTTCCCCCTTGTTATTATCCCCAGGAGGAGGAGGAGGAGGAGGTGGTGGTGGTCGCCATCGGGACACATTGCTAGGCTACGAAGGTGGCAGCCGCTGGGGTCTATGCAACGCTGTTATTGTCGCTCGGCCCAACGCGACGTTTATCAAGCGATGGCTGGACACCTACGAGAATGTGGATCTGGAGAAGGAGGCGTGGAATTATCGGAGTGTCTTGTTGCCCAAGGAACTTGCTGAGGAAGGAGGAAACGACGAAAGCGGTGACGATGTGGTACTAGGTAAAGAAGAGGCAAGGGGAAAAGATGGGAAAGATGTAGCAAAGGGAGATGTCTGCGCCTTGCCTCCTGATGCCTTCTTCTGGCCCACTTGGACATGGAGACACATCGAGTGGATGCATACCCCCTTGAAGACGAAAGAGGAGAAGGGGTTTTGGGAGGGACAGATTGCCAGGAATGGAGGAGGATTGTTTGAGAATCAGATGGCGTATCATGCGTGGGGGCAGATGGCCTGGGATAGATATTTGAAGTGGTTGACGCCCGAGGTGATTAGGACGAAGGATACGAGGTTTAATTTGCTGGTGAGAAGGTTCTTGGAGGATGACTTGTGAATAGGGGATTGCGGTGGGAAAGAAGAGATAGAGTTATAATGGGCAACCCCTGGGTAGTATCTTGAGTTTCCGGTTTGGAGGGGTATAGTGCGGTCAACACTTTATTCGGCGTTTGGTGTTTGTCGAGGTCAGCAGGAACTAAGGTTCGGTAAGGGGGTTCGATGAAGGGACCAAAGGTGCTTGGCGCCCCAGAACGGTGTCGGTGTTGAAACCTTTCATGTGGTAATTCTTAGTGGTAATCGTTTAGTTTGCATTTCTGGGAGGAGGTGATCCGTGGATGCTACACAGTATCCTTTACCATTTTCCCAAACACCGGCCCAATGCTGATTCATCTCCAGTTTCCCATCTCTATGTGCCATCTCAGAATAGGTTTCATCTTCAGATTCTCATTATCTCTGTGAGACGTCATGGGAACCAGCTGCGAACAGACTCTACCATACTCAAACGCTTGACCGTGTTAGGTTCTTTGAGCTTATTCGTGCAATACGCTGGAAAGTTCCGAGTCCTCCGCCCGTCACACTCGCACCGGCATCCAATACCGCCTTCAAGTTCTGGGCTATATGGACCATCAGGAAGTAGCTTCGACTCGAACAGTTGACCATTTGGGGCATTGGCTGGACATTGGTAATACCAGTCGTGACGGTAACCAAAGTCTTCAAAGTGGTGAACTTTGTGGGAGGGAAGAAGCATGTGCAAAGCGAGAGAATGGACGGCTGCGTCACCCCACTGAAAACGACGTAGAGGTGTTAGTACCCTGGTCTGAAGACTGTCTAAAATAAGAAGCAACGTACCCGCTCGTAGTAAAATCCCCCAGTCTTATCAAGATACTCAAACAACCGCTGATAGTCCTTTCCCCGAAAAAAGTCCAGGTTGGCAATCTCAAAGTTGGACCAGTAATGACACAAGCTCCACCCATCGCCAGAGCGGTCGCGGTGCCGAAACCAACCCATGAAGGGGCGGAGTGGCCAAGGTACCCACGAAGCAGCTACCGTGGCCTTCCACAGCTCCGTGGTCGGAATGTTGTTCAACTCCTTGTAGTCGGCTATCTTGCGGAAGAGGCTCGGGCACGTCCGCGGCTCCTCTGGCAGAGCGATGGTGAAACCGTACACTTTGTCGTGCTTGGCCATTTCGACAAAAGGGTCGTAGGTGATGGAACAGTAGAATTCGACGTCTGGCTCGATCCGCCAGTACCAGGCGTAGTCTTTGAGTGCTTCGAGGGTGTAGAATTTGCTGTAAAGGGGAACAGAATGGGGGGTTAGAAGAAACGTGGGTGGAGGAAGCAACGGAGAACCGTGGCTAGACTCACCCAGAGTAAAACCGACACATGTGATGATAAGTTTCCAACCCAGCATACAAAATCCCCGCCTCCCCCTGTGCTTTGATAGATGCCTGCGCATCCGCCACATCCATCCACTCGGGAAACAGCCATTCCTTCTTCGGCACGAGCTCGAACCTCGCTTCCCCACTCACAGTCGCGTTCATTGCGCTAATGAACTCCTTGCTGAACGGCTCATCGTTCAGGAACACGATGGGGTAGTGAAACCACTGATTGAAGTGTTTCTCAATGCTCTGCACCGTCTTGAGCGCCTTCATCAGCTCCTGGTTGCGGACCAGCATCACCATCGCTGCCTTCTCGCGCGGTTGGTCAATGGCGGGTTCCTGACATGACGTGTAAAAGGGCTCGTCGAGCTCGTGGTCGGGTTGTCGGACGGCCCATCGTTGTGTGTGAAGGAAGACTTCGATGAGGGCAGCTGTCAGGATGAGGAGGAGCGCGAATCGCGTGTGGCGGCTGAGGGTAAGGCGCGGTAGACCCGGGGGCAATAGCCGTAGGGAGGGACGTAGGCGGGCCATCGCCCGCGGGTGTCAAAGAGTAGGTGGATAAGAGTCAGGCTCTGGGTGCCCGCCAGATTGAAAGTTGAAAGCTTTGAGATGCGAGAGTCGTAGGCAGATAACTAAAGTTCGGGTGATCCGCTTTGTTAGTGCGATGACGGTCGAGGTTCGACGGTAGGTGGAGATCACTATCTGAGCATCCTCATAACAAATAAGGATACCCTCAGTCTGATCATGGCAAAACCATGAAGGAGAGATATGAGGGAATTAGCCAAACTGGATTGTTGTTGAGTGTCTGGACATAATTCAATGAATTTCGTTTTCGTCCAGGCGACTGTACTCGTCGTCGATTTGGTACAACTTGACTAAGGTAGGTATAGCGCCAGGAATATCTGACCCCAGCAATCGACCAATCTTCAGCTGAGTTTGGGAACGATGTCAGTGCCCCAGTTGTGAGTACCTCTACTGTTGAGAACTCTTTGGATCAGGTGCAGGCATGGCCGTAGGAGTCACGATACGTATAAGTGACAGGCCACACAGCATGAAGCTCGCCTTTCCATGGAACAGCATACCATTCACATCATCTCTGGCAGCTGTTAGGCTGTTGTTGTCATGGCAGATATTAGATAAAACCTAATCTATGGGAATACGTTCAACTACGGGCCTCTATGTATACCTCTACCTACTGCGCAGTAGTGTTTGTGTAGTGCGCTATAGCTACCCTGCTGCTCTGTTGGACCCTGCAGTTGCTGCCCCTGAAGCGTGGGGTCTCTTCCACTGTACCCGCTGTGGGTGATTTACACCGTCCTGGTAATTCGACGATGATGCCTGTCGGTGATCGTGGCTTCTGCGCTCTTTCCATTTCCTTGCATCGAGCTTCGACTCTCCGACTTTATTGTGAGCATGGCTCAATATGAGTACATGTTTTCATTTTGCCGTTCAGGTGTCAAATAGAATGATCCTCATTGACTGGTCTACGTCTCACTCGCACCATATTTATCCGCCGCAGTGAAATACTACTAGTAACCACCTAACCCAAATGTCTGAATAGCTTCAAATCCTCACCTACCCAAGCACCGATCCCAGGGACCATGCACGTGGGGTTCACCGACCGATGTCCCCTGGGAAAAGACGTTTGTGGGTCCCATCCTTACCGTGCGATCTCGACAAAGCTATGCAGAGCTATGATCCGTCAGCTTGGGAACCAAAGGAAAACGGGCGTTCGGGCCGACAGGGCATTCCCTTGCAGACAGAGATCAGATGGTGCTCTCGAATTCGACATAAAACATTGATCTTGTGAGGGATCTTGACCATCTTCCTGTTTCCTAAAACATCCTCAAATGGTGCTCTCTCCAGTCACCCAGACTTGGACCGCCGGTCTTCGGACGCTCAGGTTGCCCTGGCTACGTCAGTGTCATGCTCAGAAGCTCATTCCATTCCACATCTGGATTCCGTGCGGCATAGGCTTAATATGTACAACTAGGCTGACAACGTGGCAACCGCCTACAGTTGTTCAGGTCAGTTAGTACAGACTGTGCAAAACCATGGCGACCATACCCAAGTATCTCAACAAGGCCTTGGCTATCCTGTTACCGAGGGATTACAACACATTGTTTCACCACCCGGCTTTCTGCAACTTTCCCGTTGCCGGTCAGGGAGTCGGTCGACTGAGCAAAAGGGCGGTAATGTCCTTTTTCATCATGTGGTGAGGTAGCTTTTTTTTTTTTTTTCTTACCACTACCGCCAATGGACCCATCCACTTAGAGCCTAGGCCGGGCCACTGCCTGGTCTACCGCCAGCGGCCGCTTGGTGAGACGCCTCCGGGCTTCCTGGAGAAGCTATTAGTGTTACAGGTTACTCTTATCAGCGGCCAAAAAAAACAAGCTCCTTGCTCATTTCAGCAGCCAGCAGCACAGCACGGCACAGCGCCCGACATCCGGCCAGCTCGAGGCCCGGTTGGAGCTCCTTTCCTGGCGCTGGCTCTGGCCGCCATTGCAACGAGAAAAGCGGAAAGGAGGAGCTTGTGAGGTCCACGAATGTCGTAGCCCTGCTTGATCAGAAAAGGTGGGTGTTTATTACGAGTCCAATAGTCCGCCGATGCTCGAGGCCCCAACCTCGTTGTTTTGGTGTGTGGTGCCCGCCGCCCGACCTACCGTACCATTGTTGTTTTTCGTTTGCGACCCGCGACGACATACCTTAAGACACACCTCTCTTCTTTCCTCTTCCCTCCTCTCCTCTCCTCTTCCCCATCTGGCCTTTTTGTGAGAACAGCTTTAGTCCACTGTATCTTCGCGAAAAGCATTTTTGCTTCATTTTCGCTGCTGTTGTATTATTGTACTGTAAGTCGAAACCCCCCAGCTTGCGACATCTGGCGCATCGCATGTTGTGTCGCTTGCGCAAGGTTTGCGCGGGGCCTGTTTCGCGAGATCTACTCCGCAACCACATTTTGCGCCCAACGCTTTGCTCTGTCTTGTAGTCCTCGCGCTCTCTCAACCGTAATAATACGCTCATACGTCTGCCTTTTCAGTTTTCATATATACTTTAATCACGACAACATGGCTCGCGAAGGTACTCGGTCGCAAACCGGCAACTCCAAGCCGCGCGTCTTCCCCGTCGTCGACACCGCGCCGGCGGTCAAGCGGACTACTAAGCCCAAGCCCGCAGCTTCTGAGGAACCCAAGGTTGCGCCCGCGAAGGGCACCAAGCCTACGGGCGTAACCAAGAAGGCGGCCCCGAAGAAGGAGAGCACCGTTGCGAAGAAGGCAAGCGTTCTCCCCTACTAGATTCATGGTGGTCATGTCCGGTCCTCTTGGCCGAAGTGCATGATCACCCCCCTGTGCGGCATCTCGATGTTAACTCACGCTACAGGTCAAGGCTGTGGCGGAGAAGGTCGAGAAGAAGGCTGGAAAGACGGCCGACAAGGCGGAGAAGAAGGCCGACAAGGCGGCCGTGGAGCCAAAGGTACCGTGTCATCCACCTACCACCTGATTCCCCCGCTGGCATCTTTCACTTTGGCTAACATCTGCCACTGAAGGAGCCTAAGCCTAAGGCTGCGCCCAAGAAGAAGGCTGCCGCTGCCCCCGTCGCTGCTCCTGTTGCTGCCGCCGAGTAAACTGGATCACCATCCGAACCGTCTCCGCCCGTTCTTCACCGAGAGACAGAAGGCGGGAGGAGCTTGGCCCATGTTTGTCGTCACTCGTCATGCATTTCTTTGTTTGGATATCTCTGCCGGTTGATGTTTGGAGTTTGCGAATCGTGCAATCAGGATATTGGGTTATTCTGTCTTTTGTTTGGTCTGTCTGTTGGTGTCTCCTGTGTGTACCTGATGAAATCGCAAATAGCGGATTTGCTACCGAACTCTGGTGGACCACCGGCCATATTCCGTTTGACTGACTCTGACATGTGGGACAAGTCTTGCCCAGGGAGGCCAATCGAGACCGGGTAGAGTTCATAGGGACATATCCGGTTTGCCGTTTTTATGTTCCTGGTGACAGGACACAACCTGAGATGTGCGCCGTGAAACTGTAGGGTGCTGTGTGTACCTGGCCAAATGTCTTGAAGCGGGAAGGTGATGGAGATGGTCTAGAACTGAACGAATCAAGGCGCTCGTGATCGATTCCACGAGGATTAGGTGAACTTCCATGCTAAAACGGGATCAAAGGGACAGTTTGATATGAAAAGTGAGGAAGGAGCAGGAAAACGCGAAAGCAGCCAAGGCCGTCGAGGTCCTGCCTGGTAATGATTTGTTCAAAGTTGAAACGGAAGAGGAAATTCCAGAGAAGATCTTACAGAAAGGTTGATGGAAGGAAACAAAGCCATTCGGCCACAGCTGGCATCTCTCACAGGGCAGGCAAGCCCGCCCATTACGCAGATGCCGGGGGCAATAGCGCCATGGAATTCCCGGCTTCACTCACTGCAAGGTTGCTGGGCCTGTCAAGACCTGTACACAGAGGAGAGCCGGGCGGCCGGGGACGGAATCAATCCGTGGAAGCTCCCAAGCTCCCAACTAAAGCCAGCCACAGAGCAAGGCTCTTGCCGAGCGTCAAAACAACAACAGCGTCACAGCAGTGTCTCTGGGCCCTATTTGTGCCTATCAATTGGCTGTTTCCAGAACTACCTAGAGGTAGAACAACAGCCACCCCTGGACGGGCGGAACGAAGAGCAGGCCGGGGCATCTCCATGCCTGACGCGGCGCAATCCATCGTCCCCGTTGCCCGTCGCGCATCCCAATCAATCCCTCCATTCCACCTACCTACCATTTCCACTACAGTACCACCTTCACAAAAAAGTTGGCCGGCCGTTGTTGTCTTTGCTCGGACAACTCCCCTGGACTGACGGCGTCACACCCGACATGAATACACCATATCGATTGAGAGACTCGATCCAAACATGCATCTTATCAAGCCTTCATGGCTAAGCCATAGTGGTGCGTTTGACCTCGTCAGCTTCCGAGCACGCCTTCTATTTCCATTGTGTCTCCAGCTTGCGACAATCGACAACCTTGCACGCCACATTGTTTGGCTTATGATCGAATCCCCAGCTAACTGTTGTCTCGTCTTGGCTTGTAGGCGAACAAAAGGACTTTGAAGTTTACAGCTGCCACGTCTCTCCCGACGGCAAGAGACTGGCTACCGCCGGCGGAGATGGCCATGTCCGCGTCTGGTCCGTCGAGGCCATCTTCAACTCCCATGACAGAAACTACACGAAACCCCGACAGCTCTGCCATATGAGCCACCATCTCGGCACTATCCATTCCGTTCGGTTCTCACCCAACGGCCGCTATCTCGCTTCCGGCGCCGACGACAAGATCATCTGCATCTACCATCTCGACAGCAACCCGCCATCTCACACATCCACCTTTGGTATGGTCAGACATGCTGGGACAGATACGCAGTCAAGGGCAGAGGGCCAGAGTGCTGACTAGGTTCTCAGGTACGAACGAACCGCCCCCAGTCGAGAACTGGAAGACGTATAAGCGACTTGTTGGCCACGACAACGATGTGCAAGACCTCGCCTGGTCCCCTGACAACTCGCTCCTCGTGTCCGTCGGTCTCGATTCCAAGATTGTTGTGTGGTCTGGGCATACGTTTGAAAAACTCAAGACGCTGGCGGTACATCAGAGCCACGTCAAAGGCATTACGTTCGATCCGGCCAACAAGTTCTTTGCCACGGCAAGCGATGACAGGACCATCAAGATCTTCCGCTACACCGCGCCAGCGCCGAACGCAACCCAGCACGACATGGTCAACAACTTCATCCTGGAAACCTCGATTAGCGTCCCGTTCAAGCACTCGCCGCTGACGACATACTTCCGGAGGTGCAGCTGGTCTCCTGACGGTAACCACATTGCTGCGGCCAATGCAGTCAACGGCCCTGTTAGCAGTATTGCTATCATAGAGCGTACTGGTTGGGACAGCGAGATCAACTTGATTGGACATGAAGCCCCTACTGAGGTCTGTATGTTTTCACCTCGCTTGTTCTATACCCAAAAACCAGACGAAAACTCAAACGCCAATGGCGCTGCCTCCCCCGGCTTGGTAACAGTCATTGCCTCTGCCGGACAAGATAAAACCCTGACTATCTGGAACACAAACACATCTCGGCCAGTCCTGATAGTCCAGGACATAGCGTCCAAATCAATCTCCGATCTTGCTTGGACTCCAGATGGCCAGACAGTCTTCGCTGCTAGTCTAGATGGTGGTGTGATTGCTGCCCAATTCGAGACGGGAGAGCTTGGATGGGTAGCGAAATCAGAAGAGAATGACAAGGCCTTGCAAAAGTATGGCGGATCCAGAAAGGGAATGGGGACCGCCGAAGACGTTGACGGTCTTCACCTAGAGAACCACAGCAAGGAGAAAGAATTACGAGGAGCTGAATCAAGAATGGGTGCGCTGATGGGGGATCCCGGTCCTGCGCAAAAGGAAACCGCCACTACAACCAATGGCGTCAAACCAGCAGGAAAGGCTGCCGATACAAACGGCACAACAACCCCAGCTCCCCCAGAGAAGCCCGAGGAGGAAAGCGCTGATAAGACGGCCGAGCGAATTGCCGAGTTGAAATCGCGCGTTACCATCACAAAGGATGGCAAGAAGAGAGTTGCGCCTTTGCTTGTTTCATCATCCGGAACAGGCTTATCATCTTTACCGCAGGCACAGCTTGTTGGCGCAAGCTCGACAAAACCGGTTCAAAGCGACACCCCCCAAACGATATTGGATCTCTCCAAACCATATGACGGTCTACCTCGGGGCGGTATTGCGGCGATGCTACTGGGAAACAAGAGAAAGGCAGTTATTGTGGAGGATGAGGAGGAGGAGGAGCCTTCTGCCAAACGCTCAGCTACTGGTCCTGTCCCTATAGTAGTAAATGGGGTTGAGGGTCTGGAGCCAGCGCCTCTTTCAGCACCCGCTCATGGCCTGGTGCCCACCCCTGAATTCCTGCGACCGGCCGTCATTAGCCCCAACATTGCCTACTCTCAGGTCAGGCTGGCTGTCCCTAAGATTCGATCGCATATCCTTCGACCGCTTGAAAGGGGCGTTCTGCAAGAGGAGACGAGCCTAGAAGACGCAACAAAGGTTCCAGAGAACGTTGTTCTGGAGGCGAAAAATCCTGCGCATATCCGCGAACCCGCACGTATCACTGCCACTAAACGTGGTGCCCTGCTATGGCAGGATTTCTTACCCCGTGCCATCATTCTGGTCGCTGGAAGCAAGCATTTCTGGGCTGCGGCATGTGAGGATGGAACGCTTCACACATGGAGCCCAGCGGGACGTAGGCTTATGAATGCCATCATGCTGGAGTCACAGCCTGTCATTCTCGAAGCAAGAGATTCGTGGTTGCTTTGCGTTACTGCGGTTGGCTTATGCCATGTTTACAACATCAAGACGATGTCGTCACCTCACCCACCTGTTTCTCTAGCTCCCATTCTTGACATTGCAATGACCTCGCTGTCACCTCACGGCGCAACTCCAGCGCCTGGTGTGACATCTGCTCATCTGAACAGTTCTGGTGTTATTGTTGCGACTTTGAGCAACGGAGACGGCTTCTACTATTCAACGAGCTTGTATGCTTGGCAACGGCTATCGGAATCTTGGTGGGCCGTGGGAAGCCAGTACTGGAACAGCAACGACTCTTCAGTCAGCGCGCTACAGACAACAGCTGTGGGCCCAGTTTCGGGAGCTAAGAACGGGGAAGGAGAGGCCAACGTCTCAGCCGGAATCATCCCATACCTCGAACGCCATACCACGACTGAATTCCTGCTCAAAGGCCGGGCCTACACACTTCAGCGCCTCGTCAAGGCCCTCTTGGCAAGAGACGGGTTTGAGAACTTCGAAAGCAGTGTCAGCATTGCTCACCTTGAGAACCGCATTGCAGGTGCTCTTGCCTTGGGCGCACGGGAAGAGTTCAGGCTCTACCTTTTCATGTACGCCAAAAGGATTGGAGCCGAAAATCAAAAGATCAAGGTTGAGGAGCTACTGAATAGCCTGATTGGAGGCGTTTTGCAAGACGCAGATGATGGAGAGGGATGGTTTAGCAAGCAGGACAAGCTTTGCGGGTGGGACCGTAAGGACCTTCTACAGGGTGTTGTCCTAATCTTGGGTGAGTCTACCAGTGCTACTTCCTTCCAATACGTGTTACGCATGACTGTTCTAACTTCACAACAACAGGCAAATTCCGCGATCTCCACCGGTTGACTGTGCAATACGCTAGAATATTGGACATGACTTTGGGTGACGAGGAGAAGGAAACCACCGATGAGGGCATGGAGGTGGAGGACTAGGCGTCTAGCCTCGTGTCTGACTTGGTAGGGCCCTGCCCCTCGGTTGTGCAGCCCAAGCATATCAATGCCATCAGTTCAACCACCTCCCTGTCTGGTGGCACCGGAGTCGAAGATCAACAAAGGACCAAGACGCCCAGGAGTCCAAAGACCCCCCACAAGGGGACAGGTCCCAAAGCAAAGTCCCCTATAGTCACCCGTTCTGCCTCAAAACTTAAGGCTTCATCTAGCGGATGAAGGCCCAGGTATCTTCGTCGTAAGCGGCAGCTCTATACAATGGGTATGACACCCCTTTTCAACCTAGAGGATCCCACACAGGCCTGTGCTGTATGCACTGAAATACAAGGCAATTGTTGCTTTGCGGCAAGAGCAAACGAAGCGGGGGAGAACTGATGGAAACAAGGGCTACTCCATGCGAGACTTCGTACATACTGTTGCCAACTAACAAGCGACGCGCTCTTGCCCCCATAGCGAGGAAGAGGCAGGCATTCGAAGAAGGAATGCGAACCACCAAATAGCGTCTCAACCCCCCTGTGCCAACAAACCAAAAACATTATCTTCACATCTTTCGCCTGTCAGATGATCAAAAGGGTCAAATCTGTATGGGGTTATGGTTCGGGAGGCCTTTACTACATTTCGGCGTTAACAGGAAGTTTCTCCAGGAGATAGCAACGTGATACGTTATCATCAAACAAATAGACAGCTTACGCGGGCATTGATACTACCCATCAAGAACTCTGCGCTCTGCAAATATTGGTGATCTCCATGTGAGCATCTGGCAACATCTCGGCTATCGGCGAAGCATAAGAAAGGCGTGACTTGTGGCACAACTGGAGATACGATAACGGTGTCGGGCTGACCCACGCTGTAGTTGACCACCGACATAGCAGTGTAGCATCACATTCCTCACAACTTCCTGAAGCGGGGGAGGAGAATGGAACAGCGCCTGCGTTTCGTAAGTTTGGATCCTCAAATAATACAAGTAGGGATACTTAGTGTCGTCCACAATCCCAGATATTGTACCTGACGAAGACGTATGAAAGCCACGCGAAGAAGAAATGCAGCTATGATTACACGCCTCAGACACAACAAGCACAATACAACTGTTACCTTGTCATACGTGATATATACTGTGAAAGCGCCTATGGTCGGAACCAAGCTCCGGCAATGATTTTTCTTGCAGCGAGTAGGGTTGTAGCAAAAAGGGGGGTTTGGCATCTGTAGGGGTTTTCACTGTAGAAGACCGCTGATGGACCGGAAAGGTGGGTCAGTAAACCCCGATATAAGGGTGTAAGTGCTTGCTCCTACCAAAACCTTACCTTTGTTGATGCATATCGGATCGTCACCTTACAATCAGTAGTTGGCAGTCCCAGTATGGACCTGAAAATCTGGCACACTCAGCTGGTTTTGTGATAAGTTCCCTCAGGGTGCAAGCATCAGAGGTTGGGGGGGTTGCAACTACAGGGGTTTATACTTCAAGAATCAAGGCAGCAGTAACATCCCCTTACCCACCCTTATGGTTTCCTCCCTCCCTCCCTCTCTCTTCTTTCCCATCTCTTCCCTTGACTTCACAACTCACCGTCCGTCTTGCCATCCAACGAACCCATCCGATCTTCAAAGCAATCCACCAAACAATATTTCCAAATATGAAATCCCCCACCCTCACCTCCATCATCATCCTCCTTGCCCAAACTGCCACCGTCCACTGTCAAAATAATACAAATACAAATACAACAACAACAGACCCTGTAATCACCTCCCTCCGATCCTTTACCGAACTTTACTGTGACGAACAACACTGGTCAACGGGGTACACCCTCTCTCGCTCGCAGGCCACGGGGACTTGTATAGGATTGTACGAGAGCCGGAGTCTAAGCGTGGGATTTTTGGATGCTAGATGTCATGGTAGGCGGTCCTTTTTTTTTCTTACCTACTCACTCTTCCCTTTCTCATCTGGTTTCTTCTTGATATAATCAATGGCTTTTGTTTTTGGTAGAGATAGGTATGGGAAGCGGATAGGCTTAGTCAAGGTATGGAGGAGGGAACTCTACTTTTGGAAGAGAAGAGCTATACTAAGATGGGATCAAAATGTGGTAGAAGGGTTTGAAAGGGAAGGAGGTATATAAAGTCAGGGTAGTGGAAAGACGAGTGCTGACATTGATGATACCTACCTAGTGACGGTCTATACAGAACAGGGATGCAAAGATCCGGGAGTGGTGATTGGTATTGACGGGTGTTTTTCTGATGTGGAGAAAGGGCTGAAGGGGTATAAGGTGGATTGTCGTTGGTAGTAGGTAACCGAGCGCCTAGCGAGTCTAGTAAGCTGTCGATGGAAGGATGAAGGGAGATGTCTGGTGTAGTTTCGTTTTGGGGATTCGGCCGGTGGAGAAGCCGAAGGGTTGACTGCATTGTGAGGATGAGAGACTTAGTGTTTTGAGTATATGTACGATATGGGTGGACGGGAAATGTAGAAAGAGAGAAGCAGCTTTACATTGACCTGCTGATTCTATGTGTCCAGGGGAGATGGTCGTCGACGATGAAAGTGTTGTCGGCAAGTGTCGTTGCTGCAAAAAGCTGATGTATAACCAATTTGCGATGATATTAACATTGAATTCAAAAGCTTGTGTTGGATTGTACTGGCCCCAAAAACTACGAGGTCCTATTGATCATGGCACCCGGCGGCTTTCCGGATCTCGGATTCGAGGGCCCCATAAGCCCCGTGAGTGGGTCCACGGGAGCGGCCCGGGTGGGTCGAGTGATTCTGTGGGTCTGCCCAGGCCCCCACGTAGATCTTGGAAGTCCGTTTGGATATTTGGCGAGAAACTTGCACAGAAGAGACACAGTAGTGCAAGGTATTCATTGAATTTACTACCCGTACTCGGCGTTTATTGTCAGTCCGGTGTCCTGTAAGTTGAACAGTTAGACTTGAAAATAGAGCTTTAGCTGTGCATTTTTCGACACCTACAAATTCCATGCTTGATAAGTAGTCCAAATAACGTGGCGAGTTCAAGGTAGAGGAATGTGATAAGCTTGAAGAGAAGCCAAAAGTCTTCAAATGACTTGACGACCAACACAACGGGGCTAGAAATTATAGGTTAGGCGGTTCATGAAGACTTCCTCATCCTACAGTCTTTCTTCACAAGACGAATACATTTACCTACCAAACTCTATGGAGTATAGACTCTTCTCAATCAAGTCTGACCCCTCTTCGTTTCAAGGCGTGCAGTCAACCTAAACTGGTTCACCCATACCATAAACAGTATACTCAACGAACGAAGGGTAACTACACTGCACCTCAACCAATGATGAAGCAGGGCCTCGCCACGCTGTTCATGTTTGGTTAAGCTTTGCGCGATGTAACACCCCAGTTTCCTTTTCTTGATAACGCCAAAGTCACTTACAGCCACCACATCAACGGCCCGGGTCTTGGCGTTTTCGCACAGCAAGCCCTTTTGGGAAGTGGTGATTGACGCAGGGTCACATTTTTGGTTGTCAGAGGGGAAAGACTTTGTCTGGTATGTACCTGGTCCCCGTTTTCTTCGGAGATTCAGAATAAGCTGTAGCAAAAATTTGTAATGAGGAGTTCCTCGGACGACAAGAGAAATTCGTTGAGGCCCTATGGAATATATATACGGTTTCGTGCCTGTCTTGCCAGAAATAGAATTTCAGCAAGGGGATACATTGTTTTTCCACGGCGGTGATAAAGAGGGGGAAAGATATTCGAAGATACAATGTGACACAGTCTGCTACGTACCGTTTCCTTTCTTAGACGGGCTGTAAAACGCCAAGCCAATAGTTGCGATACCTGTCGACAGCCACATCATGGAAACTAGTCATCGAATGGAGAAGTTAGCCGAGCCCGAGAGAAAAGCTGAACGTGATCCTTCGCCTTGAAAGCCGTGTCCTGGGAAACCCAAAGAACCGCAAATGGGAGATAATCCGAGTTATTTGGTAGATAAGTGGTTCAGATGGTACTTGTGAGCTCCCGCCTGAACTCGTCCGTGATTCAACGAAGCCAATACGAGGACAACAGCCACCTCACAAGGGCTAGACCATTGTTGAAGGGGGTTTGTTTCGTTTGGGGCTTGCAAGCTCCGAAATCTAACGTCCTTGCGAGATATGTAAGTGAATGCTGGTCCCGATATTGGGGTTTCATCACCAACAACCACCGGCATGAATGGCAGGATGCTTCCTTGTCTGGTTTGCGGCTGAAGCAATAATCTACCAAGCCCTGACTTCTCATTGGATCCTAATAACCAGAGAATATGCAAACAGGGGCCTTCATGGCTTGCCGTGTGTCTTTTCTTGGCTACAGAGTCCACAGATTCTGCCTCGTCCCATGCAAGAGAACCGACCAAAAGTCAAGCTGGCTGAAGGAGATCAGCAGAACAAGTCACTTTGGACTTGATACCCCTCGAGCTCGGTGCCACTTTAGGTCGAGTTCAATGCAGTGTGTCTGGCGGACCCCTGACATGTTGGCTTTCTTTTAAGTCAGGCCATCCGCGTATATACTCAGGCTCGAGTCGTTTCTTCTGACCTACGACTCCTTTTCCTTTCCGAGTCTCACAAGGATTTTGACAGCATAGTTGTTCAGTCAGCACTACAGAGACTCGACTCAATATGGCATCATATGAACCAAAACAACCGACTGTTGCGACATCCGCAGAATGGAAGCAGTCTTGGTCAGCACCCAAGGCCGCCCCGGGGAGTGAGGAGCCCTGGACCACCGAAACACCGATTTGGCATGCCGTTGTGCGAGGTTTCCAGATATTTTTCGGCCTTGTGATTGCCGGGTTGGCTGGTTATCTCATTCATGGTTATCTGATGGACGCTGTCGCGTTTGGTCTTGTTTGTGTAAGTCACGTCTTCGTGGACGGCCTTGATGTCATCGACTGACACATTGTGAAGTCGCTGTTCACCTGGATCATTTGCATCTGGTCACTGGTCAGCGAAAAGGTCCTGAGTGCTCGAAAAGCGTATAATATCTGGGCGACTTTGTCTTTGGATTTCTTCATGATCATCCTTTGGCTGGCCTCCATGGGTGCAAATGCGGCGAACCGAGCAAAGTTCACAGTGGATGTCAATGTCGAGGGATGTTACGATGACGGAAGCAGCATCAGTGCCCATCACTGCATCGTGAGCAAGCGTGAGCTTGTGAAGCGGGGCGCCGTCGCTAACGAAGCTGGTCTCGCCATGATGTCTGGTATCGCCGGTCTGAGTGCCATCCAAATGTGAGTCTCAGCAATGGATTTCCTCATGATTGATTGTCGCTGACTGGCGGTTGGACCAGGCTCCTCTTCGTCGCAACCTTTGCCTATAACGCGCATAAGTTCCGTCTGTACTACCAGGCCAACAAAGGACCCAAGACTACTCACAACGGGGCCCTGGAGATGAACGCACAACAGACGCCGATGCTTAGCGTCCAACAAGGAGGACCTGCATCACCATCATACCCACAGTACACCAATCAGCAAGCATACCAGCCGCAGGTCCCCGTACAACAGCCGGTAGAGCAGTATCAACCAACGCCTACAACGTCTCCGGCACCGGGCTCAATCCCGACCCCATCCCCACAGCCATACACATATGGACATGCCGAACAGCAATATCCGGGACAGCAGGCTCCCGCTCAGTATGCTCCGGCTCACCACCCTCCTCAGCAGTATGCCGAAGCCCCAGATCACACCCCAGCCCAGTACCAACAAACTACCCAGTCTTACAGCCCCAACACGCATGAGATGCCCACTCACTCGCAAGGATATTCACAACCTACCTCATTCCCACAATGAGACGTAGTGATTGTGCGATGGTCGACTCGTGCTGAGGAATGGCGAGCGAAGTTGGCCCATACAAGTCATGAGGCGCGTTGTCTTGGTTGATGTTTATTTTGGATATCCGGCAATGAATGTGTAAGGGGTCCAGGTTTTGATGCGTGCGGAATGTCTTGTGCCGTTGGCCGGTGCATATCTATGATACCTAGCTGGGGATAGGTAACACCGAGAAGAATCCATCTTCAGTCCTGAAACCCTTTTGGAGAAGTTGGGCATGCTGTGTAGCACCAGATGGAGGGCCTGTTTCCCACCATGATCCAGGAGATAATGATACCACTTTTGAATTTTGAATGTTGACAGCTGCAGGGTGTGTTGACTAGCAGAAGCTGAGATCGATATGATGCGTGTAACAATACACAACTTCAAGTGCCGTCCTTCAGGTGTGAAACTCCGATCTGGACCATTGATGCCTGCTCTGTGTATTTGCCTCGGCCACTTTGCTTTTTTTCATACCTCTAGTTGAGCAAAAGGCAGGTACGGCCGCATGAAGTAGCAAGACTGGACTGTGTGTCGTGAGTCGCCCCTGCTGCTCAATAGTTTGGAAGGTACTACTGCCAACTTGAGGCTCTCAGGGTGGGGCCACAGATGTCGTACTCTGTGAGGGAGCTGCCCAAAGGGTAGTCACGACTGTCATGTGAGCGGGAGGCCACACTCCAGTGGACAATCGTCATGATTACCGGCTGAATTTGTCTTTGTTGTGGTTCAATTGGCTCCTTCGTTCCTGGCGACGCTCTTCACAAGTTCGTTTTCCCAAACGATATCAAGCAGTCACGACTGGTAGAGACATGTTTGTTTAGCCAGTCGCGAACAAGTGACACTTTGACATATGCAACTCACGCGGTTGGGACCGAACAGTGGTTGCATGCCCAGTGATCACAACACCGAGTCTAACGGGTCTCGAGTTGTTCAAGGAAGGTACCGATCACAGACCTGGCCCAGATCCTTCCACGACCCGCCGAGTCAACAAACAATCTTGAGTGTCGATGTGTCCAGGCTCGGTCAACAGGACGCCAGAACAGCATGACTCTTTCCATAGCTCTGTCTCTCAATGAAAAGCACAAGCGTAGTCTTTTGGAGGTGTCGCTCATTCTTGCATGTGCCATTTCATCGACGCCTGTTTGTCCTGAGTGCCTCCCAGTAACACCACCATAGTGCCTTACTGTAGTCCGCGAACAGTGTGGTCAAAGAAATGAGCCCATGCAGGAAGGACTCGTCGAATTGACCCAGGAAAGAATGGTGGAGGTCTGACGGGTGATACCTGGCAGACCGGCTTCCCAGGTACCCGAATGACGGACATCCGTGGTTGCCCAGTCCGACCACAAGATGGGTGAACAAAAGCAACAACATCCGAATCCCAGGAGACACGAAAACAATTGAAGAAGCCAGACCAAGTCACGTCGATTCGGCTCTCCAAGTTTTCCACTTAAATCCGGCCTTCCGTCCCCTCGGTTCCCCCTCCAGATCTTCTACAAGATCAGCTTCGGGAGCCTTTTTACTTTTTGCTTATGATATTCTCATCCCCAACATAGCTTTTGCCAGACACTGTCCGCCGCATTCTCCCCCTTTCATGACTGCTGCCACTACCACGGTCTCTCCTTAGCCGCTTCCATTTTCGCCTTCTGTTTTCTGGATACCCCCCACCATCATCCAGTGAAGACAACTCTCAGCAATTGCTCCATCACGACAAGATGAAGCAATATCAGATCCTCACTCTTCTTGCCTGCGTGGCCACGGCCGCTGCTCAGGGTGTCACGGCCAAGATCGCCCCCGAAGCCAAGGCCCCCACGGGATGTGGCCCGAATTTCAACGACAGGTTCGAGCTGGACATCTTGGAACTCGGCAACCCAACCAAAAGAAGCGAGGTATGGCCTGAGTGTCTAGACTCGGGTGACCAAAATGGATGCTGACGAAACCACCGTACAACAGCAGGTCCGCCAGTGCCATGGCGAAGGCACTCTCGTTTCCCAGCTTGTGGATGGTGTGTTGACCGACGCCCATGGTCGAACCGGATACATTGCCTCGAATTTCCAGTTCCAGTTTGACGGTCCCCCTCAGGCTGGTGCAATCTACACGGCTGGCTTCTCGGTGTGCAACAACGGCTCTTTGGCGTTGGGCGGGTCCACTGTCTTCTATCAATGCCGCTCCGGTGACTTCCAAAACCTTTACGACCGCTGGTGGGCTGAGCAGTGCAGTCCCGCAGAGATCTTGGTAATCCCTTGTGGTGACAGCCATCAGGACGCTGCGATCAACGGCGTCGTTGTCGGGACCACAGTCCTACCCACGACAGTGGTTATCCCACAGAGTGATGGTGAGGGGAAGGCCGTGGTTACTACGGCAGCTGTTCCGCTATGCTCTGTTGGCGAGATCGGAGATGGTATGTCGTTGTCTCTCCCTTCCCACCTTCTGTAGGTGTTAGGACTGACGTTGCCAATACAGGTCAGATTCAGGGACATCCGACCCTCTGTTCCGAATTTGAATTCCCCACGCCACTGACGGACCTGGTACCCGTTTCTGAGTATGCCGATGGTCAGATCCAAGTGACACCTCCTGCCCCTAATACACCTGGAAACCCCAAGTCGCAGCTCACGCCCCCTAATTCAGTTCCCAACATCTTTCTGACGACTACTCCTGCTTCCGGGTCCCCGCCAGCCCAGAATACTGAGGTTCCTCCCGGGGTCGTTGTCGTGCCGCCCAAGCCCAGCGTCGTGATCACCAACGATGCCGGCCGCCGCTGGCTATCTAGCATCAACGGATACATAGGCATTGCCCTGGGCGTTTTCGGTGGCATGCGGTTCATCTGAGCACATGTCCTGGCAGAGTGAGATATTGGGTTGGGGAGGAGGGGATGAATGCATGATTAGAAGTCGGTGATGTATATAATTAGGGAGTCACGCCAGAGCGAGCACATTTAACAGGTTTTGGGGCCAACCTTGTCCTTTCCTTCTCCACCTCTTGATGCTGAGTGAAGTTGGTGACGAAGTTGGTGATACATATGGGTTTCCCGACTGGGTGGCGTTGATCGACATGCCCAAATGGTCGTAACTGAACGCGTCTCGATCAGTACGTTCCACCTTGGGTATGATCTTAATGTGTATTCAAACATTTTTAATATACCTTTGAAGTTGATTTCTCGGCAGTTCCTGAATGGAGAAATTGTTGATGGACTGTGGCCGACATGTTGCCAAATTGTTTCTGATCCTGTTCATGTTCGGTTTATTGTATGGGGACCACTTCTATAGGTACCGAGGTACTCTACGCTAGGCCTTGAAGCCCTCTGAACCGATTGGGGGACATAAAGTACTGTGTAGGTAGCGTTCAAGTGCAACCGGCAGGCAGCCTAGCGTTGCAGGACCCACCCGGTTTTCAGTGGACTAAACGTCACGGCTGCTCGAGGTCGCCCTGCAACCCTCGCTGTCGCGTAAACTTCCACTTCCCCTTCGACTTCTTCGCAATCACAAAATCGCCGGCATTTTCCAAAGCTGACGGCGCTATCGCAGCTTCCAACGAGGCGCATAATAATCAACAAAAGACGCCATCCAATCTACGACAAGCTCACGACTAGAAGCTATCCGTGGCAGCTGCCCCCTTCCTCGAACGTTGATCCATCACTCCAAGCACCCATCCAACATTGCGTTCTAGTCTCCAGAACCGACTATCAAGCAAGCCGCGGCATACTTGCGGCATCTAGCAATCATGGCAGAATACTGGAAATCTACGCCCAAATACTGGTGCAAACACTGCTCCGTCTTCGTCCGCGACACCCCTCTCGAGCGCAGAAATCATGAGTCGACCGCCAAGCACCAGGGCGCCATCAAGCGCTCCCTGCGCGATCTACACCGGTCCGCAGACCAACAAGAACGAGAAAAAGAGCGAGCGAGAAGGGAAGTCGAGCGGTTGAATGGGGTTGTTTCTGGCTCTGGCTCAACAACACCAAGGGCCAGTGGGAGCGGGAGTGGTAGCGCTGGACAAAAAGGAGGACATAAACCTGGTGGTGGAGCAGGAGGAGTCGGACCGACGGGTGCTAATGCTGCTGCTGTCGGGTTAAGCGATGCGGAAAGACAAAGGCAATTGGAGCAGTTGGCTGAGTTGGGCGTGAATATCCCGACAGAACTGAGGGGGAGTATGGCGTTGGCGGGAGACTGGGAGGTTACTAATGTTAGGGTCGTCAATGACGACGCAGATGGCGCAGCGGCGGGTCAGAATGCCGGTGCAGGTGGTGCAGGTGTGATTCCTGTGGGAGCAGAGGGGAGAGCGGTAGGTGTAAAGAGGGAGAGGGAACGGACGGAAGAGGAGAAGGAACAGGAGGAGGCTATCAAGGGATTGTTTAAACGACCGAAGAAGTGGGGGGTGGGAAGCAAGGTGGCGAAGATGGAGGAGGATAAGGAGTTGGAAGAGTTGTTGAGTGGGGGGATTCCACTTAGGAAGGAGGAGAAGGGAACCATCAAGACGGAGGTGGAGCAGGATGTCAAGAAGGAAGACGGAAATGAAAAGGATGGGGAGGTGAACGTTAAGAAGGAGGAGGACGGTGTACAAGGGGGTGTGAATAAGGAAGAGAATGCGGATGCGGAGGAGGACAGCGCCATTTCCAAGATTCCGGCTATCAAGAGTGAGCCCAGCGAGGCTTTGTCAGGAATTGCTGATGAAGTTGCCCCTCCGCTTGCTACGGGCGAGTCTGATGTTGCGGCTGCGGCTGCGGACGCGGTTCCGGCTGTGGTGTTCAAGAAGCGGAAACCCAAGAATGTGCGTCAGAAGTAGGAGGGGTTATTCTTCAGGAATATCTGAAACCTCTCATGTTGAATTTGTCAATGATACCCTCTTACAACCCTTGGAGATCAGTGTGGCCTGTGACCGAGCTCTGATTCACATTGAAGGTAAGTTTCGTGGCTACGATCGTCGACGTGGTGATCAACATCACCGACACAGATACTGATGATGTAGAAAGGTATTTATGCTGAACATTCCTGTTCAGCTAACCATCTTCAAGCATCCGTAGTACTTTCACCCTACCCACTCAGACAAGAACAATAAGCCGGGAACAAGGACAAGCTCTCGTACTTACCGTCTCGCGGCACAAGTTCCGAAGTCCGAACATCGTCATATCGAGCAATCCCGTTCTTTGTTGTTAAAACCCAATGCCTCAACGAAAAGCACAATGGATACCAACGGACAAGTTACCCGCGGTATCCAGCCGCAGGGCAGGGCAGACAAGGCTCACAAAGGCATTTGAAACCGGGGCAGCACACTACTCAGCCGAACAATGGGCTTGTTCTTCCACTCCCTCCTGAAAATCTATGAACAGCTCGATACTCTCTCTGGGATTCAAGATTGATTGTCAAAATACATAAAAACCGCGAGATTCTAGTGCGTAGGCCATCAAGTAAAAGCCCACCAAGTCAAACACATAGTTCCAAGTCTTACTCCCCTCGACCAAGAGACGCACACAGCTGAACTTACAACCCAAACATCACTACTACCACCACCGCTTCCGCAACAATGCCATCCTCCTCGGCTGCCTCCAGCCCTTCCACCACATGCCCAACCCTCCCCTCCATCACCCACTCCCTCCTCCAAACATCCCTCTCTCTCAAGCGCGACTTTCGCTTCCTCAAACTGACCGTCCGAGTGTCCAATCCCGATCGTTCCTCACTTGAAATCGCCTTTGATGAATCCGAAACCCACAAACTCCTCCGCACCTCCCTTACCCGACTCAACTCTGCAACCCGATGCTTCATCCGCGATGCCAATATTTTGTTGGATGAAGAGGTAAATCGGTCTTTTGATGCTTACTTGCGCCGCTCGGATTTCTACTCTGGATTTCACAAAGAACAAGAAGAAGAAGGACAAGAAGGAGAGGAAGAAGGACAAGAAGGAGGAGAAAAGGAAGAAGGATGGCATGTTCTAGACATGACTTCCGAAGAAAAAGAGACGAGAAGAGAGTTGAGGAGGGTACTTGAGGTGGTGGAGGAGTTGAGAGGGGTATTTCTCAAGAAGGCCGGGAAGTACGTGCTGAATGGGGTGGGAGGAAAGGTCTTTAAGGAGAAGGGTGATGATGGTGATTTGGGAGATTTGGTGGGGGTGTTGGGTAAGTTGAATGAGGATGGAGATGGGGAGGACGGTAAGGGTAAAGAAGGGAAGATGAGTGAAGATGAGGATATCAAGGTAGGATTGGAGAGGTTAGCTGGTCGACTGGGAATGGGGAAGAAGGAGGAAAGAAGCGCTCATCGGCTTTGACGTAAGTTGCGGATGAGAAGTTATTTTGCGAGTGTGTGACTTGGAGGAACGGTTCGAAATGTGGTGTCGTATAGAATCAGTCTACTAGCGATTGGATAATTGAAGGCATTTGTTAGCCGTGATGTTTGAGACATAATCTCAGCCGATTCCTTTTGATAGCTGGTAATATAACTCAAAGCAAAAACGCTGATCCAAGCTTCAAGTTTGGCACCTGACGATAACAGTGTCGTCGACTGCAATGATACTTTTACAGTTGTCGTCACAACAGGGATCATCTCTCGGCATTGGTTCCCTTTCCCACCTCCCCATCACCATCCAGTGACGCTCATCATCGGAGCAACATCGACTGACGACCATCCGCTTCCATTTCACTATTTGAGAACTTATTGAGACCGAAAGGTACATCCGACAGGGTATCTGTTGGGTACTTATGACGCTTTGCGCTGTCATTGCAGGGTCGTTCAACGATGGTCCGTCCCAATGCTCCGGTGATTCGCGTCCGAGTGAATGACGTTTAGAGTGGAACCCATCCCCTCGACTCCTCGACAGTGATATAAGTGATAACCCCAACGAAAGAAAGCTGCAATAGAAAGAAGAGATTGAACAAAGCACACTCTCCCAAACAACATTCCCCAGAGTAAGTCTAGAACCAGACTTCTGACGAAACAATCTCGAGCCACGACCACCGAAACATAGAAACAACCGCCGCTGACCGACAAGTCCAGACCACTTACATATCAAGGACAAACGCACAGACACATCACACCCCCTCCTAACTCTTCCATCCATCTATCACCATCATCATGTCTTACGCCGGACACTCCAAAGTTGGCTTCCCCAACATCTATGAGGATGGCGATCAGCGTCACGTTCCTACTGACGAGGTCGATAACCTCGTTCGGCACAGCGGAAAGAACATAAAGGCCTACCGCCCTCGTATGTCTCTCTGTCCCTCTCTCTCAGCACTTACCAAACAAAAAGACGTGTGCTGTACCTTGTGTAATGCCATACTGACTTCCATGACACTATGACAGGGGAACAAGTCGCCGCGCTCAACGAACATCTCATGGAGGAGACTCAAAAGTTGAGGGAAGAGGCAATCAAGAAGGATCCCACACGTGCTGTGAGTTTGATTACCCACGCACTCATTCTGAGACTTCATTTCTTTTCCTTTTTTTTTTTTTTTTTTTTTTTTTTTTTCCTTTCTTCTGTTTATTCACAAGAAATCTTCAGTCCAATTTTCAAGTCTCAGAAAGAACGGGATGACTGACTGACATCATGTCGTGCTCCAACAGGCAGAACTCCATGGTAACAAGCCCTGCAAGGGCGCTCTCATTGACAAGGAGTTGGCGGAGGAGGATGCGGCGGAGTTGAGGAAGAAGGAGCAGAAGCTCAAGCAAGGAATTGCTGGAGCGACCCATTTCAAAAACAAACACCATCACCGTAAGAATGAGGAGGAGGAGCAGTGAAGGAAACATGAAAGCGACGACGGCGAACACTAGATTCTACCGTTTGGGTAATGCACGATATTATGATGAAATAGGGGTAACGGGTATAAACGGCACATGGAATGATAGGACGGAAGCTGGAATGAATGGATCAATGAACCTACAGGTACTTTTATTGAGCAACTGCCGTTTGGTCAACTTCCATCCTCTCCCCATTGGTTTGTCTAGATGCTGAGCTTGTCAGAGAGAAGTTGTTCTTGTTCCAGTTGCCCATGGAGCCGTTTGTCCTCCACTCTTCTGGACAGAGAATTTGGAAAAAGGTTGTCCCATACTGAAGCATGTGGAAGAACGCTGGACGAAGACTGGAAATGGGTTACCTCTTGGAGTTGCAATCTCGATAGAAAGATCATCACAATTGGTGGCCGTGGTAAACGAGAGCCCTGGATCCAAACACACCCGCTGCTTCCAGTTCGCTCTTGTTCCTGCTACCTTTGGTTGCGCCTTCCTCATGTAGTGAAATGACGTTCCCATGGGACGGCATGACTGGACCGGCGACATATGCTTCTAGAGCAGGAGCACACTTTTCCAGATCTGACATACTAAAAGTGCAGTAGCACACGCGTCAGGTTGCTTGCGTCCGCCGCGTACTTGTCATTTTACTCGTCATCTCTGGAACACAACATGGAAGATTCGACCAAAGTATGGAAGGAACACAACGGCTGGCAAGATCCCGCGATCTTAAGCGGCCGCGTATGGATGGATTGCCATGGTAGTGGGAAGAACAGATCGTACTGAGGGAACAGCCTTGGCTTCGAGGCAGCTGTGAGACTGCCCCCACGGAAATGCCTCGATATTCGGGATAATGTACCTGTCCGGTCAATCAGGCATAATGAAACACCTACACATAAGAAAGCACTGGTTTTCACTTGGAAACTCAGCGGAAAATTGCCAAAGCGCAAAGAAACGGATATCAGGCCTTGCTGATATAGTCGCTCGAAGTAACTGTCTAGTATACATTGGAGCCAGAACCACCACACCATGCAGGGTTTGGACATCTACACTACCCAGCCTCATGTTTCCAAGGCTCTTGTGTCAAGGAAGCGTATTCCAACTGCCAGTCCGAGTCATAACCTGTGAGAAAGAGGTAATAAGTGCCAAGAACGTGAGTTTACAACCGTCAGGAACATGAAGAGATAGTAAGAATGACTTGTATTGGTATTGCTCCGTAGATGTCCGATCTGGCATACGCTATCAATCCGGTGATGGTAAACAAAGATGCCGTTTCCCACCAATAAAAGCAAAAATCCAGAGAATAACGCCAAACATGGTGTGATATGCAGTGATGCTCGGAGGAAATATGCTTAGCTCAAGCAGTCATCATCCCAAGGAACCACTTCTCGTGGGCACGGGGGTCGAGACTGTTAAGCCACTTGACAGAGCCTTGGGCAGTTGCTCGCGCAACCCTGTCATAGTTCTGCTGGCACGTCATCAGCCGAAGAACGGCCTCCTCCCAAAGGTCGATGTTCTGCTCCGGGACGATATAGTCACCATTTTCGTGCTTGGCGCCAGTGACAACGTTAACAGGGAGACAGTAAGGCAAGTCAATCTTGGCTTCCTTGAGACCGCCGGCATTGGAAGCGATGACGGGGATGCCGCGAAGCTGGGCCTCAGTCACGACAACTCCCCACGCCTCGAGCCAGACAGAAGGTGCAAGCAAGACCTTGATGCGGTCCCAAATCTCATCCGTGTTGCTGGTGGTGGGCATGACCCTTGATTCGAAGTGGAAAGTAAGCGTTGGGTTGTACTCGAGGACAAGGGAATATGGACTTACTTCATGTTGGGGAGTTCCTTAAGTTGATCAAGGTGCTTGCTTCGAGAGCCCCAGCTGCTCCAAGTGACAAACTGAATCTGCGGCAGTCTTTTGGCGAGCTCAACAAGGATGGAAAGGCCTTTGTGAGGGCAGGGATTAACCATGCCGACCTCGAACTTGTCGATGTTGTACCGCTGAACGGGCATGCCTCCAGTGCGAGCATCGAGGTAGGTGAGGGGGCTGTGAACAAGGAACGTCGTCTTGAGTCTTCCGTGCTGCCAAGCGTAGTCTCCGATGGCCTTCGAGACCACCCAAATTCCTTCAAGCTCTCTAAGCAGTTGGTCCTCGACCTTAGGGGACGAGCAATGGCCCAAAATGCCGTTGCAGTACGGGCCGAAAGGCAGCTGCTCAGCAGTGTGGATGACATTGATTCTCTTGAACGTGGGCCTCAGGGCGTGGTCAGCCGTGACTTTCATCGTGACGGGATCGTTGAAGACGACATGAGTAGGACGGTACGCAGTGATATGTTTGGAGAAGATGTCGATCAAGGTCTGCATGCGCTGAGTAATGGAGCGGTCCTAGAAAACGAATGTTAGCCCTCGATCTTGAGGTTTGGAGGACTGGAAAAAGGTACCTCAAGGTAATCTTGGGTGTCCTGCCAGAATTCCCTAGTGGGGTAAGCTTCATTGAAAGGGACGCGAGAAATGACGATATTGTGAATGCCATGCTCATCCATGAATGTCTTGACATCAAGTTCGTGTTGGTTTCCCTTGGAGTCGATGACTGGCAGACCCGAATGGTGGGTCACGTTAGGTTCGACACCTTTGGCTCTGGCCAGCTCGGCGTACTTTTCGACCTCGTCTTCAAATCCGTAGCAGATCTGAGCGGCATCATGGCCAAACAGGCGCAACTGGCGAAGGAGATTGACGTTGGCCTTGTAACCTCCTGAGGAGGGAGTGAGACCTTGCGCAGTCTGAACCAAAAAGACGCGCATCTTGGTCGTCGTCAGAACACCGTTGGATACCCCACAGGGTCCGTAAGGAGCGTCGGTAGAGATGGTCATGGTGACCGTCGAGAGAGAAAAAGGACCGTCGAGAGAGAAAAAAACGAACGAACAACTTGAAGAGTCAAGTCAGCTCAAAAAAGAAGAGAAGTCGAGTCTCGCAACCTAGTCAAAATGGCGAAGAAAGCTGTGAGGTCTCTATGGTGCTGGTGAAGAAAGGAAGATGTGAAAGAGAAGGACAGAGGAGGAGAGGAGGAGGGGGAGAAGGGTTTTGTTCAAGGTGTGGGCTTTAAGAGGGAAAATGGAAGGTACGATATCAGAAACTTTACCTGTCGTCCCAAGTGCGAAACTGCAAAGTGGAAGTGCCTTCCTTTACCCCACAACTTCAATACCAGGGACGGGATCAGTCAAAATCCCCCTATCATCTCTGATATTGAGCCTCATTAGAAACTAATCTGTCACGCGCCAGTCCTTCAAGCGTTTCATTCGAAAGTGTAGCGGTGGGAGCTCGGGCTAGCTGGCCGCTTTCCTGATGGGATGACGAAATGCGCACTTTGTATCTTGACTGCATACAGACCCAAGGTGGATTCCGGCCAGAAGGACGGAAAAGCCTGTGCAGGGGGATACAAACAGCCCGTTCAACCCTACAACGGTCACAATCGACAGCAAGCGGGATGAGGGATCTGACGAGGCAGCTTGAGGACTAGTTTAGGTAGTCTAGACGGGAGGTGGTAGGTAGGCCATCTTGGCCGATAAGTACGTCAGATACAGTCGTGCGAAAGCAAGAAAGCTCCATGAAAGCTGAGGGACAGTGAGGCTTAATGTACCCAGACGTAGCAGGTTCACGGTACTTTCAGTTTCTGCCGCTCGAAAGCGGTTTGTTGCTTGCAGCGCAAAGTCCAAGCACTTGCAGGAACAACTTCTCTGAAGATGGGTGTCACAAGCAAGCTGCAACCACAAGCGTGGGTTGCCAGCGCGTGGGATCATGTTAGCTCGGGTCGTGCTGGCCGTGTGCAGGCTTCTAATTGCCGTGGCCCGATATTGAGAGTTCCACCATACAGGTCCCCAACGGAAGGCGCCCATGTGTAGATGGAGTTGCGTGTGAAACAGTGAGAACAAGATGGTAGGGTATCGGATGGGAGTAGCCCGCTTCACCCAGGTCTATGAAAGTTACCCGCCAAGTTCATGGTGAGAGCAACCTCAAGGCCGATAAGGGCACCCCGGGCATGAGCGGTACTTACCCGCCACAACAATGTTGATGGCAGGCCTGTCGTCATGAGCATGAAGTGCAGCTTAACTCTGAATCAGAGCTCAGAGCACAGCATACACCAGAAGGACGGGGAAGCATCCGTTGTGCGAGTTTGAGTCGGGTGTAACACGAACATTGCAGTCAGTACATCGTGACTTTTAGTTCGTACGTTGCCTTTCACAGTAAGGTATTGTGAACGGTATCTCTGCCTTGGGCAAACCGAGCGGAAACCACCCAATGAAGAGGCTAAATGGTGGAGGTTGCGACACAGCGCCTTCCCTCCCTCTCTGTTGCCACGCCCGCAGCAAAGCGTCGGCAGCCGACGAGGCAATTGAGACTTTCTGGAACAGGCAACAGCTCAGGCTACCAAGCTACCGCTGTGCGCTCGGTTGTGCAACATGTACAACTTAATCTTTAAATGAACAAGAAAAAGGAGGTCATCATCAAAAAGTCAGTCCTGCCCTGCAGTGGCCAGCCAAGTAAAATGGCCCAGCTCCGTCTTGGTTGCCCTCATCTGGCGCAGTGCCATGTTGAGCGCAGTCACTGCTGGCCGACACTCGCGGTGCTAGCCCAACTCCCGTCTTTCCCGTCTCCAATGTGGTTGTGATTGGAAGTCCATCACCAATCTTCTCCCAGCTGACGGTCCTCCATATGTAAACTGTCCACTCGCCCGGTTCGTCGAACATTACGTCCACAGCATCCATTCGAAGCCTGAAGCTTACAGTCTCTGTGTCAGCCGTGTAACGGAATGTCGAGACGACGTGGGTGTCTTGGTAACCGATAGCCTGTGTTGCTGCCGACGCGTCGCCTACTTCCCCGTCCAACAAAAGCGACCGCAGCTGCCGCGGCGACTTGCCCCGCCTAAAATTCCAAAAGATCAACATAAACCGAGGTTCGCGCGATATGGCGCCACGACACCTCGACATCTTGATGCGATCATTGCGGATGCCGTCCACAGCGACTACCCCTTCGCTCGAAGCGGAAACTCCATACGATGATAGAGGGCGCCACTGAGCCACTGTAGTGGTAGACCTCGCTCCCCACGATATGACGTCCATTTTCGTTGTGGAATAGACCCTCGTCACCTCTTACGGTGGCATCATTTCCCCGACCTTGGCGCACATTGTGTTGTGGTGATGATACCGTCGCAAATAGCGCCGAGAAATTCGGAGAGTGAATGAACCGGATAGCCAACCTGATGCATTTGAGCAATTAAATGGAAAAAAGAAGAACTCAAATTGAAGGCCTCTTGGTCCAAAACGCCGCCTTCAAGGGGAGAGTGTCGAGAATGGGGAAGATATATCTTCATGGACCATGCGTAGAGTCATCTGTGAAGCTGGCTGCGCGTCATGAGCTTCCACAGGTCGACAGACTGGATTCCAAGGCAGTACACGACTCCTCAAGGATTCGTGAAGGGCGCCAACGTAGAGAGAGAAGTGAGTGATCGTGGCTTCAGATGACATAAGGGCATTCCCACCCTTAGACAGCGCGTGCGATTTGATTAATGAAGGATTGTGCGCGACTTTGAAGCACACATCGGAGTTGAGTGCACTAGGTCTTCAGTGTGTCATTTCCTCAGGCAAATCAGGACCCGGAAAGCGTTGACCGGCGGGGAGTTTGGGGGAGATGCGGGGTCCTCAGAGCAGCGGTGATCCACAATTCAGGGGCGATGTGTGCCACGACAAACAAACTTCCGCATTTGTCGCACATCACCCCAAACGAGATCTTGCAGGCCGATGTTCTTCTTTGATAATATTGAGGGGGTTCACTACTCGCAACAAATTGTGTCAAGATTTTAGGATCTGAGAGTGCCACATGTAGGACAGCATAAGGAGCCAGGAGTAGTAAGACTTTGTGTAGAATTGAGGCTCCCTTGAGCACATCATCTGTCAACTTCCGTCCCGCTGCGCACTGCACCTTCCCACGCGGCCACCACGCCTTGGCCATCTCGAATCCTGTGAAAAGCGGGGCACAAGAAATTCGCACCGTTGTCATGATGCTCAAGATTGTCACATTTTAAGAAAGCACATCAAGTGTTACTTAGCGAGGAGGGCTAAGTAGTAGATACATCTAGGTCTTAGAACAATACAAGTGATTCTCAAGGGGCTCATTGAGAGACCTGCGGTTCTGTAAACGAGTGTCTAACCAAACTTTCTCACCATCCCCATTTCTTGTAGACTGCATCCAGGTTTCCACTTTTCCAGCATCGCATGTCCACTACGGCCGGTGCCCGTGCCCTGTATTTCGTCGTCTCCGACTTTCTCCGCTCCTCCTTCCTTCTCCCAAGTACCTATCAGCACGAAGCTGCGCCGGCCCCTTCTTCCAATGCTTGTTCAGGAGGAAACCCCGACTTTTTGCAACAGCAAGGGGCGGAAGGTGCAGATGGGAGTTATCACAAGTAACTGTAACGTCCTGTAAACAAGGCATCTGCCCCTCAAGATCAGATATCGCCACCACACAGTTACAAGAGTCTTTCAACAGTCAAGGTAAAGGCACCCAAGTATGGCAGTAGTCAATCACAGTTCTGAAGCGTTATATTTGTTTGCGATCTCTTGGTTCAGATTGAGCATCCAGCCTGGCCTTCGAAATCACAACTTACAAGCTCATGGAATATGGAATCACGCCCCAGTATCCAACGACTACTGAATCATCAGAACGGTGGAAGTAAAGCAACTAACCTCTGTTCCTGTATGTGTATCTCCCATTTTCCTTTCCCCGTATTTCGGATTCCCAACTGCCCGCCCCGGACGAACATGCAGCGAAAAGCTCAATCCTGTACTTGCGCCTATCTAGTCCATGCCACAATGAGGCCCAGTACGCTCAGTTCCGCCGCAGTGATAACAGAGAGCTGACGATTCGTTCTCCTGGCGCAGATAATATTTGGCAGACAGTAGACCCCCAAATAATGTCGATTTCCCCACCACCAAAAGGAGCGAGAACAAGTTCGCATCCAGCGCCAGCTATCGGTCATAGGAAGAAAAGGAGAAGAGAAGAAAGAGATGATGAAGTAGAAGAGGAACCACAATTCATATGCAGATTGACGCCAAAAACCATGCCCGGTGCACACCAACGCCTATCTGTCATCCCCATGCCATCGCTTTAGAAACCGTGGGAGTCGAAATCAATCCTTTGCTGCCAGACTCCACGGAAAATTCGATACCATTGCTGCGTTTGTTCTACGTGAAAGGCCATCTAGATCCAGGTCAGAAATATTATAGCTCTGCGGATCGGTTAAAAAGGTTCATCGGCGATCTCCCATCCCTTTCAGAGCGGCAACGATGGCACCTCGGCCGTGATGCCGTTCAAAATTCGACGCTCCATGTCTTCAACGGTGACTTCCGGATCGGTGTCAAGGAATCGTGCGGCAGCAGTACGAACAGCCTGCATCTCCCTCAGTGCAGCCTGATTGGCTTCCGTGAGACTGTCCGCCTTCGCCTGCAAATGTTGGACCTGGGCCATGAGGAAGTCATTGGTCCTTTTCATCGACAACATTTCAGTCTTGGCCTCGATAAGCTCATTCTGGAGGCGGACACTCCAGGCTTCAACATCCTCGTCCATCTGTGCGTCCAACTGCATCAACATCGGTGACGACGGCGGCGCCGGCGGAATGCTGTTGTTCTGGATGGCGTTGAGCTTTTTCTGGAGCTTCTTGGCCTGTCTGAGCTTTTCGGCTTCTTTGGCTGCCTCGGCTTGCTTGGCCTGCCTCTCACCTTGCTCTCTAATCTTCTGTCGGCGCTTAGTATTGGCTCGCTTCTGGGTCCTGCTGCGTTTCTCGGCTGCTGGGGCTGCCACGGCCTGGTTGACTGCCTCGGCCTGGTTGATTGCCTCGGCCTGGCTGGCTTGCTTCTCAGCCTGCTGTCTGGCTTTTTGCCGGCGCAAGGCATCGGCGCGCTTCTGGGTTCTACTACGTTTCTTCTGAAGGGGTTCTGGAGACGGAGAAGCGCTACGAGCTCTCGGCGAAGTGGTGAGCAACTCGGCCAACTCTTTGTAGACGGGCCTTTGATTGAAAGTGAAGGCATCGCCACTGGTGTCGACGCCGAAGCCAAAGTCGACCTGGCCGGAGGTGGTGGATTTGGTGGAAGTGTGAGAGGACGGGGAGCCAAAACTCATGGCAGCCTCGGAGGTATGGCTGCTACTGGCATGACGGCTTTTCTCGATCTTCTCGGCAACGTCGTTGATAAGCTGCTTGATATTGTTCATCTTGAACGGATCCACATCGTTGAACTGGTTCTGGTTGGCTTCCCGAGTGCGGGAGCTCGACCTTGCACGTTTTTTCGAGCTATCGTCGGAAGAAGCGTCCTCATTGCCTAAGGAGAATCGCTTGCGGCAAACAACCGACACGGGGGCTGACATGGTGAATATTTGACGAGATATTGATACGTGGGAGTTTGGTGGAATCTCGATGCAGAAAAAGGCTTCTGTGTAGCAATGTCACCCTCGAACAGCCTTGTACAGAGCCGGTTTTGCTAGAAGAAGGTTGAGGCTATGGTCAGAGCCGCGGCCGAGGCCTGGTAACGGGTGAGCAATGTTGTGATCAGGGTTGTGGTTGAGGTTCTTGTCAGGGTTTCGGCTCGGCGACGTTGTGAATCGAGCTAGGACCAAGGGTGGTTGACTGGTGGTGAGTGCGGAGATTGCTGACCGGGCAGCGCCCTGCTGGTGGCCGTCACTTCGGGACTCGCTCAATATGAAGCAGTGCCGTTGCTATTTAAGCTAGGGTCGATAGAGTCGGTGTTTTGTGCTATTCTTGATGGATATGGACTGGAATATGTGGTCCTGAGCCTGTCAAAATAGGAGTTCTTGTGCTGACAAAAAGTTGGGGGACGGTTTTGTTGGTGGTTAGGAGGAAAAAGCAAGGAGGTACCTTACTTGTGAGGAGGGATTTTATACCGCACGTGAAGATACCAGCTTCTGCAGACTTCTTTGAGGCTTGCAGGAGGAAAAACTCAATGCCTCGGATGGAAAGGCTGTGCCCAAGTGAATGGGTAGAGTAAGGATGAAAAGGCCAGATATACGAGAAGGTTGGAGACACACCGCTCTCCACGAGCACGAGTTCAGTTACTAGCATTCAAGGTTTACTTTGCTAATCGTAGCTGGTTACTCCAGGTCGGTACTTGGAATAGGAAGAGCCATTCAATATCACAACACCATCGAAGGGTGACATATTATCAATGGACCGCACCGCTGGTTATCCCCTCATTTTTTTCCTGCCCACCTGCAGATAAAATATCCCTTTATGCATTCGAACCAATATCGCCCCACCTGATGTTAGAAAAAGTTACTGTGACGTCCGGCGTCTTCTTAGCAATCCTGTCCGGCTTCCCTTCACCGTCCTGGCATGGCCCGTTTTTTCCGGCGTCCAGCCACGCCATTGAGTCTCTTTCGGAGTTCCAGATACTCAATACCATGACCATACCACGGCCCAGTGCCTGGCCGATTGTCTTCAATCCACCCAACCGCGCATGGTCGTCGAAGTCCCGAGCACTGCAGTACCCTTCCGTCAACGCGCCTTCAAACTTGCCACCGCTGGGCGGAATGTTGGCATGGTTGAGAGCCTTAATATTCGAGTTGTAGGTGGCTGGAATCGTTTTTCCATCCTGAATGTAGACCCTCCTAATCTCGGTGAGGGCGCCAGTCGTCGAGTTGTCATCTGTGAAGAAGCGGGTGACGACTGTAAACGGCCGGGTGGTGTCAACCTTGTGTTTCTGGCCCTTGCCGTAGAACTCTGGGGCCCCAAGCCTGAACGGATTGATTCCGCAACCTTTTCTGGCACACATACCGCTTCCACTCTTCTCTGACTCGTCGCACTGATCACCGTTGCAAAGGAAAGGGCCCGTTTGCTTGCAAGGATGCGAAGTCATGGTCGTGGCGCTCGAGTTGGCTTCCCAGATGTCCATTTCGTTGCAGCAAGCGCCGGAGGAATCAAGGTTTACCTGGGGTGCAGAAATGGAGAGTTAGAAGGGATGAAAACGGATTGTTTGGATACAATATGGGATGCTTCTCGCTTACCACGCCATTCACAAAGTCGCTTTTGGGACATTGCGCATCGCAGTACCCAGTCCCATACCTCGCCCCAGCCGGGTTGAGTTCACTCCTCCCCCCGGCAAAATCCATCTCGGACAGGTACAGCGCGCCGTTCATACCGCAACCAATGTTTGACACGTCCACCTGAAAGCTGATTTCCTGATTCAACAGCTTGATCGGCTCGTAGTTCTCGCCATCCTCTGCAAGTAGGTACACGCGCGGACTGATGGCCCTGTGCTTCTTCCCGTCGAAAAGATAGTTGCGTAGCGTCACGGCCGTGTCACTCGCAAGCACGCCTAAGCTGCCGTACTCTACGCCCTCAAGAATGCAGTTTTTGGCGCAGGTGGCCTCGTCGGGACAGAGCACCTTGTTGGCGGCGGAGCATTCGACGATTTCGCCTTCGGTGTTGTGGAAGGGTCGGTGCCGGGCGTCGGAGACGAGATACGTCTGTTGCGTTTTGCAGCCGTCTGATTTGGTGCATCTCTGGGTGCGGAAACGGGGATGGACTTCGGGTATGCCGGTGCCGATCTGTTGGGCGGTTGCTACTTGTGGAAAGAGTGAGAGAAGAAAGGTGGATAGCAGTAAACTGCTAAGTCTTCGATGGATCATGACTGCTTTGCTTGCAAAGTGTTTGCGCGAGAAATTGACGATCGTGGATGTTCGAGTAACAGCTGAGTGGACTGCGTTGCGTACTTGAGTGTTGAAGAAGGATTGTTCCTGTGGCGGGAACAAAGGAGCTTGTTTCGATATGTTGGTACTCGTACTTCTTTGCTTTGGTTGAGACTTGGGAACAAGAAAGCCTTTGTCTCTCCCCGATGTTTGTATCCTCATGGATCCGGCCCTGATTTCGAGTGTGCTCGTGAACACGTCTCTGCTCTCCACTTTGCTCCTTTTCTTGTTGCCGAAGCTACCTACATAGGCACTAAATCCGTCAATTTCATGTGTAACAGCAAACTCCAGATATGGGCAACACTGCTGGGGGGGTTCCCTAGCTAGCAAACTGATCTTTATCACTTCTGCACCCGAACGTGATCTTGGTCCCCTACCCGACCAACGTTCCTCTTCGATATCCATCAGCTTTTGAATAAGGTCTCCTTTTATATCCCCATTCAATCATTCTAAGAACGTCATTGGTACAATTCATCTTGTTTCAGTCGTGAAACATGTCGTAGAACAACCGCTCCCTCTCTCAGTACGTATCCAGATCAAGTGCTTGACGTCTATCCTTTCCAGCCCTAGGTAGAGAAATGGATTGGTCGAGAATGAGATCCCAAAACGTGTATAATATTCGTCTCTTGGTGTGATTTAATTATCCCAATGTTTTGTCACAATGATCACTCAAAATATTCTCGTCAGTTTCCGTTCTGGGAACTTCTAACTCAGTGTTATGAGAATCGTCCATAACTTCTAAACGGATCTGAGACGGACGTACGGCGTTAGAGATAATCATGAGTAGATTTCGTTGTTCGCTGTTGAATGAACGGCATTGTCATCTCGTTGGTGCTGAAGGGAACTGGCGGGCCGTTGGGCGAGTCGTTGCGGCATAACCTGCCGATCTGATGAGAAAACGCCCGGTCAAACAACGGAATAACATTTTGCCACGACCGAAGAGCGGTCGAACCAGCCTCAATCATGCTCATGCAGTTCAGCCATGGACTATTGACGCACCTCGAGTGCATAGGAGGTAGACTTACATCGATGTTCTGTATGTTACACAGACCAATTTCGCTGGGATTTCGTAATTAATGTGGCTTTCGAGATCTTCACGATGCCACGATTTTTCGCTGTTCAAGGGGTACGTTTGACTTTTCGAGTAAAAGCATCTCATGATGTGATACCGTTGGATGCTTTGCCAGATGTCGCTCGTCCCAATGGAATACCGGTTTGCTTGAAGACTGTTCGACAAACAGTTAACGTTTTCAGTTACTTGAGTGATGCATCGGTTTTGATGCAAGTTGGGCTACGAAGAGCTTGAACGAGCAAAGCACGAACAAATTTCTTGTACATAAAGGCTCTCGATAGCCAGTACGACACTCAAAGCGTCATCAACGCAGCATCAGCACTCAGGCCAGGCTACAATAAGCGCAATCACCGTTGAAATTCAGCTGAACAGTCCACCCCACTTACATTCTCACACTTTCGAACACGACTTTCACCATGTCCGAAATCACCAAGCAATACGAGAGTGACATCCGCGAGTACGCCCGCGACTCCGACCCCGAGGTCGCCAAGGCTGGCAGGATGGGCAAGTCGCTACTGTGGAAGACATCAGGCAAAAGTTCTCGAGACAGCCTCATATCGTCGATCTACCGTGCAGTGAAGCGCTTGGCGGATGCTGTTGAGTATGGCGGGACTGTTAATATTCCGAAGGCAAAGGAGGAGCTTGAGGCGGAGATTTCGAGGGCTTCTTAGATGTAAGCTGGAAGGGTTTGAAAAGTTACAGAATGAGGGGTTGAAGTTTGTATGGGAAAGCCCAGTTGCATGTTGCAAGGATCAGAAAACCGTGAAGATGTGCACAAGCGGAAGGAAGGAATCAAAAAGTGCTCGAGTTGGCGAGAGGGGAAGCCAGGAAATGTATGCAGACACACAGAAAGAATAAAAGTAGCAGGAAGTATTCAGGAGTGATACATTAAGAACTTTGAGGATTCTTTCCCAGTCGTAATTGTGTTGTGTGCGGGCTCCACATTGGCATGGTCAGCATGAACACAACCGGGACACTCGTGAACAGATGGTACACCAAAATAAAGAATAATATGGCTGAGACAGTAGGATTCAAGAATTATGCTCCTTCATCTTCTTTGTGGTATTATTATTGTCCTTCATCGTGGTGGCCGTCTGGAATGGTGCGGTCTTTGCCTGTGTTGTTGTCGATAGATGAAAGTGCCGAACTGACCCATTGGATTCTCCCAACTTGTCAAATCACGTTACGTTTCCGGAGATAGTAATGGAAACCTTGCTTATTGCTAAGATGTTGCGATTTCTGTGGGTACGAAGTGGTTGGTTTCATACCTTATTCAACTGCTCCATTCGAGAGATGGGTTCCTTGGACCATGATCATAGGTACTGCTAGAAGGAATCACTTTGTCGGTCATGTGAAGGCTCGCAATGACACGATGTAACTTGGTTGGGTTGATGATGCATAGAAAATATGCTCTATGATACAGAAAGCGAACATAAATTCGGTAGCTCTCTTCTCATCTCAGTCTACCGTATAAACTCGGTTCGTTGATTTTTAACTTCCACGGAAATCAGGCATAATTTGTAAGCATACTGCCCGGATATGTGCATTTTATGCCCACCAAAAGAAGTGGGGGAGTTGTGTTGCTACTCCGGAGCACTGTAAATTCGATTCTCCTTTTGCCCTTTCTTTTCTACCTGTTTTCTCAAGGGCGCTGGAGTGTGGGGGCATTTGAATTACTATCTTGCATGCAACTTCAGGTGGGCATAAATGTTGCAGTATGCTTACTGCGTATGCCTGATATCCCAGGAAGTTTAAAATCAACGAACCGAGTTTATACGGTACGCCTGGCCTACAATCAACACTTCACACACAAACCGACCACCAATACATATCGTGTTCCTGCACTTGCATCACTGGCACAGACTACTTGAAGGCTCATAGCCCACAGCTCAGAGTGCCGGCCGACCCAGCTACCAAACTGCTTGCCTGAGCGAGATTGAGACCTCGAACGTAAAAGAGACGCTGCAGAAGCGAAAGTCCTCGAGGCATGCCAAGATAAGGAAATTGATAAGGTGCTCGATGCTTACAACAAGATATTTGCAGAGCTAGACAAGATAACTACGGCACTGAAAAGCGCTCTCGCGAGGGCCGATGACAACTTGCAGGATCTTGTCTCAGCATCTGTGAGCGAGTTCTGGAGAAGTCCGCTAGCAATCCTCGACAGAAGGATGAACATAGCATAACTGAAAGTGAATCTGACCAGAAGCTGTAGTTGTCATGTATGCAGCTGGGAATAGCATAAGAAACTAAAATAATGACTGCGCCGATTTCCACGCCCTACTCGGAATTTGTTCCGCGCATACCTAGATAGGAATTGCCTCCTGGAGATACAATACCCAAAACAACCTGACCTTCCATGCAAAACATCCATCCTCAACCTCCAGCATTTCAAATACCTTTGAGCACCCTCTCTCAGAAACCGTTTTCGAACAACCCCTTCCTTCTATTTGACATCGTTACTATCCGCCTCCTCACCATTTACCTCCTTGTTCTCCTGTGCTTTTCTCCGAATCCTCGCTACCTTGACAGCCTCCTTCTTGAGCAACTTGTCCGCTTCCTTACCCACTTCATCCGCCCACCTCGCGGCTCTAATCTTGATCAAGTTCGCCGAGCGCCGGGTCGAATAATTGATGGGGGCATCCCCCACCACGCCGTTCCTCAGAGTCCCCAAAAGGCTCGCGATAAGCATCATTCCCTCGGCGTTAATAGCCTCGTCAATGTCTTCCGTCAAGTACATCACGAACTTTCTCCTTCCTGGTTCGTTCTGGATCTCAAAGTCGCACAGGGGCTCCTTAGCATGTAATGAATCTGCCTCTGGTGCATCTTCTGTGGTAGGTGGGTCGATGATAATGAAATCGTCCTTCTCGGGGACACAGGGCGCGCAGAGAGTTGATGTGGACTTGAGGTTGTTGTGGCTCGTCGTGTTTTGCGTACCGTTTTTGGGTGAAAATTTGTTGAATAGAGGACCGCAGAGAGGGAGTGCCCATGTTGGTGCTGGCATGGGCTGATGATGCTCAACCTCTTTTGAGTAGGAAGCGTCCGTTTGGGTCGTCTCGATGGATTTGGTCTAGACTACGTCGGTCACTTCTTCTTTGGCTGAGGGCTTTGCCCTGAAGAGCTTCCGAAGGTGGGAAAAGAGAGAGAACATCTTGGGGATAATCGACTATCGCAATGGAGCGTAGATATGATCGCAGCAAGAATCGATTTGTTTATGGCAATTTTGGGTATTTCTTTCTACCGTTCTGTGGACATGTGTATCTTGAAGTCCAAGATCCTCAGCGGCGTGTTGCGTGTTGAGAAGTGTGGAAGAGACGGTGGACGGGGAACCCATACACTATGTATACCATCAATTGTCTCCTTGTTTCCTTCGCTAGCCGACAAGTCGAGGCTCGTTCACGATTCCCAACTGATAAGGTTGGCAGACCTGCGCTTTGTTCGTTCCATTGTTTGTCGGCGGGGTATGTCAAAGGAGGATGCTGCTGCTTGTTGGATCCTGCATATCGCTGTTTGTTTAGTTGGATCCTGCATGTTGCATTGGACTTAACAACGTACCTCGACCGGCAGGTTATACTGTGGCAGCAACATTGCGAAATCGACACTTGAATATTTGCTTATCGTGAAGCGGTTTTTAAAGTGAAAGTGTCGACCCAACAGCAATGTTGGTGCTTGTTTCCCTTTTTGTATCGCCCTTGTCTGAGTCCCAACCGAGCCCATCATGCCTCCCGTTTCCAGTAACTTACAGTTTTCAACAACAAGTCATGTAAGGATGTGATGTTCGGAGTGCTGTTCGATTGTTTACATTATGCCGAATTCGTACGGTGTGGCCTGCAGGTGCCAGGCCCCCGGCCCTCGAAGACTTGCCGTTTGACATCCACACTTTCCACATTTGGCAAACCTTGGATCACAATGCTTTCTGCCTCACATTCATACTACTACCCTAGCCGTGATCATACGATAGGTATGTTACTTCTTCAAAACAACAAGACCCGCATTGGGCTCAGTCTTCTATGGAACCCAGATACTACATAGACCCGTCCATCGATCCATTCACGCTTGTCCCAAGTCTTCTTTCTCTGCGCTTCAAGCCCGTCACTGAAGCGAACAATCTCATTCCTTCCTGGAAAACTTCCTTTCTAGCAAACACGAGTGAGATATCTGATCTGTGTCCGTGATACGACAAGCATCAACCATCTTTATGCCTTTTTCTCACCTATTTCTTCACCTACTTCCCTAACTTCATCCTTGTATGCTCTTCCTATCTTGCGCAATTCCTCATTTTGCTTCTCAAAAATTGCCGAAACTACCAGCGCTTGCTTGTGCATGTCTGCCCACATTTTTGCCCACTCTTCTTGGACGATCATCGGTATCGGGGCAATTGACTCATTTGCTGCTCTGGCCTCCCGCGGGAGTCTCTCCTTTCCGTGAGAAAACAGTCTGAAGAGTCCAGGAAGCCTTTTATCGATAGACGCTGCCGCTTCTCTAGCAACTTCCGAACGATCCTTGGTCGTTTGGACTTTTGAGGGATAATGGGTCCCCAAACAACTCCATGGGCTCGGTTCGGCATCCAAGTCCGATGATGACTGACGGACAGTCTGGGTCGGCTCGATTTGCTCCTCAGATGGCCTCTGAGCTTCCGTGGCAGTTGTTAGGTTGTCTTTCTGGCCAGCTTTAGCCTTCCAAAATGACGCAGAGAGCGCGCTGCGCAATTCTTGAAATGTAAATGGCATTGTTGCTTGGGTACATGTACGTCGCTAACAGCGGTGAGATAGATCTTGATATTCTCGATATACAAGTACAAGGAGTTTTTGCTCTCTCGCTCAAGATGTGAAAGAGCTCGGAGGTGAAGTCCTGGGTAATGACTGGTTCTCGTTGGTTATACGGAAAAAGATGCCTTTCACTTGCTGTGTTCCCTGAATACAAGGTCGAAGGAAGGTGATCTATATACACCTGAAATTCGTAAGGGGATAAGAAGGGCTTCAGCAACCTGGAAGTGTGTAACCGCCCTTGTCTGTGATGATACGCCCGATTAGGATGAATCATCAGAATAGGTAGTGTATCATCCTTGTGCATGATCAAGATTCCCATGGTGCTCTTTGTGCCAGTATCCCTTGTTGATTTCGAGGCGTGTGTTGGTGCCGCCTGCTGCCCGTGAAGCGGCTACGACACTTCGCTCCGAGTCAAAGAACAAATGAGCCGCAGTTGTAGCAGTAATCTGTTGGGTCAGACAGGACTTATGTCTTTCATATGATGCACTTAGATGCCGGGTCAGTGGCTGACGTTTTAGTCATGCTTTGATCAGCTCCCTGGGGCTTTTACTTGGACCAGATCCACTGTCATCGTAGAGTTTGGCTGACGAGCAATCGCTCATTAAGAAAGCATCATTGTTGCTACATATATCTTTGTAAATATAGGTACTCATCAGTTTACCTCCCATCCTCGTAGTCTAGTAACCACCGAACTCTCCTCACAAGAAAACCCGACGAGATGTGCAAAGATGAAAGCAACACAGAGATCAACCATGTCACCACGGGCAGACAACATCCGACGTCGGCCACCAAGATTTCACAAAGGCAGACGTGTGATTTCCAAGATCAAGGCAGTGATGGTGGTGTCGGCGGTAGCAATCGTAAAAGTGATAGCGCCAAAACTGTTGGTTCCGTTGGCAACAGTGGGCATTGTAAGGGTTCGACCTTCTGACAAGAAATGACGGGCGAGTGGCTATCGCTGGAGGAAAAGAGTTAAACGTTTTTCAGGTTGTGCTATCGCATTTACTCAAAACAAAAACGATGGCATTACCCCCCCCC